CGGCCTGCACTATATGCACCCTGAAAGCTCGGGATCGATAAAAGACACCTCAAGTATCGCGCCGGAAAGTTCAAGGAAAACCTGCCCTGCCATTGGTCATTATCCTTCTCGTGTAACGCGGGATTTCCAAAAGTGCGTCCTTTTTTCTTTCTCCGCTCCAAAGGGAAAACATTCAATTCCTTGGCCCGGACACGTTCGAAGGACTCGTTTACGAAATTTTTCACTTTACATAAAAAATGTACAGTGTTCGTACAATTTTTTTTTAATGAAATTTTATGGGCATCAAGGCCTTCCTTAGGGCCACCATGTTCATATTAGAAAGTGTCAGTCGATTCGATACAAAGGTTCACTCGATAGACAATAATTCCACAAAACGACCTTAAGAGATGCGTTCGCTTGCGTAACCTGCGTAGGCCGGTGCGTAAAAAGTAGGTCCATTATATTTCGAGCGTTTCCGGCGCACCGGATATAATGGAGCATCCCCGCGCAAGGGGCCGGGCGCGGTGCAGAGTAGAGATGCATCCGAAGTGCAGCGAGGGCCAGCACCCGGGTACTCTCTACACACGTTGAAACCTCCGGATCGATAAAAGGCACTCGGAACCATCGGGCCGGAAACTTTGCGCGAAATGGCCATACCCTGATAATCGAGTTTCCTTAAGCCAATCAATTTCCTTCGGCTGGGGATGCCCCCCTCCTAAAAAAAATTGGCATTTTTATCAGCCACTGCGAGAGACCGTTTCATGTCGCACCCGCCATTATTGCGAGATACGTTCGTTGCACGGTGAGGAATTAACGTGCGAACGTTCTCAGTGTCCTGCGGGTAAGATGTGGTATATTAATGATTATTGGCGCCGTAACGACACAACTATGCAACTGTGCAACTATGTAACTATGCAACGATGCAACGATGCATCCCTAGTGGAGGCTGCAGGGTCAATCGTGGGGCAGGGGAGACGCGTTAGACCCGGAAGAAGGACCGGCGTTGGAGCCGGCCGGGCACACGGTAGGTTCGCTGAAAGCCTGGGATCGATAAAAGGCACCTAGACGTACGCACGTACTAAATGTTGCAACGTGCACCGGCACCGAGTCTGCAGCTTCGGGCTTTATGTTTTTCAGAGCCCGGTGCCCAGGGCGCTGAAAACCCTCGAAACGACCTTCGCGTATATATCAAACGGGCCAACTTGGAGAGTTTTCCGAGGGCCTCGGGGAAAAACTCGGGCATTCTCGCCCGACACCCCGTCGACCCTTCTAATGGATCAACTTTAGCCGTAATTATTCCCCTCACTCGATCGATTCCTCTTTAGGAACTCCATAACGACGGATTCCCGGCCAGATTCTTCCTCGACGTCTTCCGGTACAATATTCCTTCCGCCATTTCTAACGCTGTTTTAACGTTAATACTGACTCGGGCATATTCGGGTGTTCTCGGCTACGTTCGTGCAATGATCAAGATGGCGTCCTCCTGGATCGGCGGTAACTCATATATATATATATTGTACCTGTAGTGCTAGGGAATAGGCACGGAAACTCGCGAATTCCTAATATAAATCTGTTATTCCCACCTGTGCATGACACCCTCAAATCGACCTTTAATCCCCCACGATAACGTCGGTTCTTTACCTCCTCTGTCTTGCAAATAAATTCCGCGAAATCCGGCGGGCAGGCAGGTGCGCCGCGCCAAGGGGTTAGGACGCGCTCCAAGACTGGTTCCGGTTCTAAACCCTCGTCCTAAACCGAGGAAAAAAAAATAAAAATAGCGTCAAACCCCACCGTGAGCCGTGAAATGGATACCGATACCTAAAGGACCACGCTCCGCATGTACGAAGAGGAAGTATCTTTACAAATTGCGAAGTAACGACATGTAAAGTAATTCCTTCTGCCTAGATACATTGTAGTCTCCTTCAGGGGCCGGCGTCTGCACCGCGGGCATCAGTGTTTACTATTATTTTCCCTCATAGTACCCAACTACGCCTCCGATTTCCTCCTAGACGAGGACCGGTCCCCACCCCGATCGATCCGCCGTGGAGCGCGGCGGGGAAAAGAGTCGCCGTCGCGAGAATAAATGAAAAGGGCGAGTGCGTGTCGGTGAGAGTTAATGGCGCGGTCCGGACTCGAAGTATGGCCGGGCAGGGCGCACCGCTAAGCGGTTCCCACTCGTCTAACGCGTCGAAAAAAAAAAAAGAAAAAAAAAAGGGAAAAAGAAAACATGGAAACGTCGGAGCCGTTCCCTCCCGATCGATCCTTGAGGGTGTACACGAGGCGGAGATGCCCGTCGCCGCCGCCGCCGAGAGAGAATAACTAACGGCGAGTGCGTGAACGCGGGTGGCGGCGGCGGCGGTGCACCGAGAGGTCGGTAAGGAGGAGTCCGGCCGCACCAAGCGGGTCGGGGTCGGGTAAACGACACCGCGGAATCTCGGGCCTGGTATTGGTGAGCGGTCACGTGGTCCCGCGGTCACATGGTTAGGTGATCACGCGCCCTCGCCACGGAGAATAAAGGTGAATTCATACACGAGTATCTTACAACGACGTTCCATGAATTTCCTCCCCCTCGGAAAAGTCTATCAATTCAATATTCCTAATTATACACACCATTAGATATATAACCCTCCCCCCATTAACCCGGAATACAAAAAATACGTGAATTGCCATTCGCGCTCGATTAGGAAACTCCGATATTTTTTTTTCTTTTTTTCACGAAAGGACCATGTTTTTCCTTCTTATTTAGAAAATCAGTCCGCTCCTCCCGGAGTGCCCCTTATTATTTAGGAAAAACATGCATAACATCCTCGCGTGGGGCGAAACGAGGAGAGAAAGAAAAATTCCGGGCGAATCCTAGGAGATACGCCGGCCGGGCGAGGAGAAATGGCTGCCTTTAAAGGGCCACACCTATCGCTCGGCCGGCTCCAGGGGAAGTCGCGAATCACCGCGGCAGCCGGCGGGTCACGTGGGATCGATGGTGGGTGCGCTTTCGTCATTGCGGAACGAGAGCGTGCGGCGGCGGCGGCGGCGATGCCGACACACGCGCGCCTAGGGAATTTCTCCGGCGGTGGGGGGTTGGGGGGGGTCTCACTGCGCCCGTCGTACGTCCGCTCCGTGCTCGCCCCTTGCGCGCTCGGTGCCCGCTCCCGTCACCGGGGAGTAACGATCGGAACAACACCTCGCGCTTGGAAGGTGCCGCGAACCCGCGAGCACCTTTCCCCTCGGCCGCGCGGCGGCCAATGTCAGCGCCCGTTACCGGTTCCAGCGGAAACGTCGTTAGGCACCTCTCGGGTCGCTCCCGGCAATCTCGCTCCTCCTCGACCGAGGATCGATCCGGGCGATCTTATCGGGCAAGAGAGGAGCGTCCCCCGAGACTTACTTCAACGAAGCGATGCGAGATATATCGGGGAGGGAAAGAGAGGAAAAATAAAGAGGAGGAAAAATCTCGATCGTCGCCCAAGTGACGGCGGGAGCCTTGAAAAGGTTAATTTCGGCCGTCTACTTAGCTCGCGACGGTTTATTCACCTGTCCCTTAGATTAATCCACGTCTAATATTAGGCGGCTCGAAATACGCGCCGAGTATGCCCGATTCCCCCGAGAAGGCGGCGAGAGTTTTGTGCGGTGGAAAAGAAAAGAGAGACCTCGAGAAAGATCCGGCCGAAGAGAAGTGGGTCACGGGGAGGGTTATTGCCCCGGACTGTACGCCGGGGAATAATCCGGGAGACGTTCCGGTAGCCCGGGAATCGCCGCTCGGAAATGCTCGGTGGACCGGGACGGGGTTATACAATGGCAATTATCGCGAATCGGGGATGTTTACCCGATAAACGTCGATTCCTATGGTTGGAGTAATCGCTCATAGAATGATTCTCCGGAAGTCTGAAATGTTTTCGGTTTGACCAGGTAACGGGGCCTCGTTGGCGTAACCGTCAATGCGGCAAAACAGGAAATAACAGCGGTCGGGTAATTATCTAGGTTGGTGTTTTTAACGCCGCCTAGCCGGATTCGTTGGTTTCCGGCTAAATTAACGGCGGAGAAAGTCGCGAGGGACGTAACCCGGCCCGGGGGCTCCGACAACGGAAGACGTCTGGAGTCCCGGCGCGCTTTATCGCGGCCCACTGTACACCACGGGGGAACCCGGCAGAAATATCCGCGCGACTCCGGAAACGCCGCGATCCGACGCAGCTGCGAGAGCCGGAGGATGCCACCAGGCCGCGGTGGGCATCTCTCGGGATAAAGTGAGGTTAGAGCGGCCAGCGCTCCGCCCGACACGCGTCTCGCGGCGCCACCTAACCTCGAAAACCGCAACGACCGCACGCCGATGACGAAAGGGGAGGGTCTCTCGCGGACGACCATCAAGACCCTGGTTTCACCTCTCCTTTTATTCCCTTTCGAACTTCTCAGGGCCGAATCCCGACTAAAAAAAAATAAAAAAAAATTAAAAAAAGAACAAAGAAAAAAAACGAAAGGCATCTTCTATATCCCGGAATAGGCGTCGATACGAGTCGAAACTTTGCATGGAAATTCATAAAATTAATCCAATTACCATAAGTGGAATAGACGAGTGAATTCTCCGTGTGCGCGGTCGAATTAACGGCGATAGCTTCGAGGAGCCGATAAAGATTCTTTGGAGGAAATGCGGAGGGTCGAATTTCGGGGGCGAAACCAACGGCCAAGATGGAGGCGGCCAGCCTCAATGGCCGGCGGAGACCCGACAGAGAACGGGCCGCGTCTTTTTCTGCGGCGATCCAATGGAAGCGTTTCGTAATTGGCTGACTTTCACCGTGAACCTTTCCTCCCGGTTACGGGGACGGCTCGCGGAGAGCCCGACCTGCCTCAACGCGCGCCGCCGCGCCGGGTCTAACGCCGCGTCCCGATTGGCTCGCCGCGGGGACCGATCGGAAATGCGCGCGCGGCTCCGCTGGGTGGTGGGGGCGGACCCGAGAGGGAGGAGGACGGACCTACTGGGGCGGCGGTAAGCGCGAGGGAGACGGAGAGATAGTCATACCGATTGCGCTACTCACCCTCGCTCCGAGAAAGCGGGCCTCGAGTAACTCCTGCTTCCTGGGGTCCAGGGTGGCCTGAAAGTGCTCCATCTTGACGCCAGCGCCTGCAACACATGTCCACACTGTCGTTTATTCACACCTGCCGCAAGGGCGTCCCTATAAATCATGCACCCGATAAATGATCTTAACCTATAAGGGACACCGAGGCCAATTGTAACGCTTTCTCTTTGTAGTTTCCGTTCTGTAATTGATTTTAACGCCTTTTATTATATTAATCGAATTATCCCCTGAAACTAGTTGGGCATATCGTTTGCGGCACAAACAAAATTAACAGGCTTATTGGAATGTATAGGTGATGTAGACGTTTCTGCTATGTTGAGTTTTGATTGTGCAATTTTTTTTACAAAAACCAGAGTTGTTAAAAAAATATCAACAAATTCGGAAAACCCATTAGATTTGAAAAATCGAAATTTTCACGATTTCGGAATTTATCTTTTTAAACAGCTCTGGTTTTTGTAAAAAAAAAAAAATGTCAAACAAAACAACATGACAAACATTCGAATAAGCCTGTTAATTTTGTTTGTGCCTCAAACTGGATTTCAGGTTCACACAGCCCCTTATCGGCACGTTTTCAAGCTATAAAAAATGTTAAATTATGAGGCCTGTTACAATTTTTACGTGTTATGATTGGTCATATTATTAGTCTTCCCAACCTACTGTAACGAGTACTTTCTCGCGCGCTCTCGTGAGGACTAATTTCGCCGCGACGCAGAATTTGTTCTCGCTTTCGATCTATCTTTTTTTTTCTCTTTTTTTCTTTTTTAAACATGCCTCCGTGACATCCCAATATGACCGCCCCTCCGCCGAAGGTGGTAAACGCGTACCGCGATTCCACCATCGGTCGCTTCCGTGAAATCCCGCCGACTGGATATTTTCGGACATGGAATTCCCGGGTCCGGCGACCGAAGATTCGACTGCACCAAGCGCAGCCCCCGGTGATGAGTAAGATCGGTCTTGCGCGTGCAGAAATTGCACCGACGTCGCGATGACCGCGGCCGTCCATCTTGGTCTGGCGCGAAAGTGAAAACCCTGAATTTCCCTGGAAATTTCCCGCTTATCTCGGCCCGAGATTTCTCCTTATCTAGACGGTCAGAAAAATACGTAGACGTAGCAACGGAGTGTCTCTGAGTGCACTCGAAATGATTAACCGGTCTCATTTTAGCACGGTCGCGAAATCTCGCATCCCTGAAGAAAAGATTTCATTGACCCAGAGAAATATTTCGTTAATTCTAAAGAATAATTACTTGATACGGATAAGCCGAATTAAATTGTCGCAGCCCCGAATAAACTTTCCATTCTATTTATTAGAGTTGATTCGAGCCGAATAATTACTTTTTGAATTAACATAATTTTGGTACGATGCGATCTCTTATCTCGGAGTTGTTTCATCCCCATCCTCGTAGCGTTCATCACTGGATGGTCCAGGAATAATGAAGGATCGATAAATTGATCCCGATTGATCCAGACCTCCGTAAAATCGCGGCCGCTTCTTCGAGAGTCCTCTAGGATTACGGAAAACCGCGGGGATTAAAACGGAGTTGAGAGGGAAAAAAAAACAGGAGAAACAACGTAAATCGAGGGACCAGCGGAATGCGTCCCTCGCGGAAACCGCATGCGACCCTTTGACCTCCATCTTGCGCTTAGCTCGGAAATCAATACCCCGCCGAATTGACCGGTCACGGGCCTCCATTTTCCGGCCAATTCCCCAAAACAAAAATCAACTCCCCCAGTCCTGAATTAACGGGGGCACTTAAAATACCGCTCTCAGCCCGGAGGCGGAAAAAGTGCTGCCGTGATTTCCATTCCGATCGAGAGGCGCGCGATGAAGCCTCCCGCTTGCAATAATTCCCAAAACAGGAATTTCTAAAGAATTTAAACGAGTCGCCCAGCGATTTCATACCTTCGATAATTGCATCGTAAATAATCGGTCCTTTGGTACCGAACGCTCGAAATCGATCAACGAATAGATCAAATCGGAGTCCCACCGAACGCGTCGAAAATAGACGACAATTCCGAATGATGTTTAATTTCTCACGTCACCTCCCTGCATTTTCAATTGGTTTTTCATTCCCGACGCGTAGGCCCGACCCAGAAATTTCTAAAGAAGATAAAAAGAGTCACCCGGCAATTTCATACCTTCGAAAATGACATCGTGAAAAAAATCGTCGTTTGGTACCGAACGGTCGATGTCGATCAACGAATCGATCATAATTGAGGTCCACCAAACGCGTCGAGAATATACGATACTTCGGAATTACATGTAATTCCTAGCGTCACTTCCGTGCATTTTCCCTTTGTTCTTCATCCCCGACGCGTTGCCGGGCCGCGCTCAGTGGGACGCCGGGCTTACGCGTCTCCCGCGGCGGCGAAAAACTTCGGCCGAGGATTCGTTCCGCATGCGAGGGTAAAAGTGCATCCATTGCCGGCTCTTTATGGCCAGGCGGAATGTCGAGGAGAATGTCAAGGCCGCCTCGTAAGATCGGTCATGGAGACGGGCCGACCCAAGTTGCTCCTCTTGGGTCGAGTCGGCCATATTTGTCCGAATTTCACCTAGCGTTTGCATGGCGCCTTAAAACGTCCCGCCGCGTCCTAACCTCGAAGGACGGGAGGGCGGAAGAGATAGAGAGAGATAGGGAGATCGGGACGTAGCTTTCGGCGACGCCGAATCGGTTCGACCTAACCTGACCAAACTCGTTGGTTTAGCACTGCGCAGTAACGTGCGCGTCAGAGGGTTCCGGGAAGCGCCGGGCGATCCTCCCGTTTCCGCGTAGCCCAATGGGCGTGGCCACTTTCCGCTGGAGCCCGGGAGACGAATCGGAACCCCGAGCGCGTCCGAGTTCGGCCGAAGGTACCATCGGGCGCGTTCGATCCGATCGGCATCGTCCTTCGGGCGTCTTCGGCGCGTAAAACTACTCGCGCGTCGCCGAGCCGAACGAGGTCAGGCCTCGTCCCCTTCTACGCCCCTGCGGGGTGGGCCCGATTAATTTCCATACCGAGGAGACCCAAAAGAGGCCGAATGAACGCGTTTACCAACTGGCTTTCGTTATTTCTCCCCGAATGCCGCGAGACCGTGTGTTCCTAACCTCTTCGCGCAACCACTGTACACCGATGCGATGAAATCATGGCCGTACACCGAGAAAAAAGCACCCCAGTCTAATTCTCATTGCAGTCCCAAGAACATCAGCGTCATTGGGCATTCGAGGTCCATACATCCTACACGTCCATGGGTGAAATTCGCACGCGAAGGTTAGGCCGACGCCTATATAGATCCAGTAAAGTAGATCCTATTAAGGCGAATCGATCCACGCAATACCCTCATGTCGCAGTGATGTCATTACAATGTATATCTGGCTCTCGTAATAAGAGCCGGTGCTAAGCGGGCGTCTCGTCGTCGCTACCGATCGCTTTCTGCGTATCGCGTGCTTATCCCGATCGCTAGAATCACGGAGGTGTTAGGACACACATGGTGTTCCAGTCAAAACCAGGAAACTGCCAGTCGCCTCGTGGGGGGGGCTGTCCCACTGCGCGCGTATCTAATCAAGGATGAAAAACCAATAAAAGCTGCGTTTAGAATGAAACGAAAGTGGCCTCCGAAGGATCGTTAATGAAACATTTATACATTTTTAACGAAATATCTACGAACGTCGGAGTCTTCTTTGGGGCTTCATGATATTCACGTGGTAAAAAGGGATAAAGGACCGTCTTGTAATTGTGCTCAACTTCGGCCGCGTCGACGCGCCGCGCTTAGTGAGACCCCGCTATACGGGGGTCTACTGTACCCTGCGTCGTTCCTCGGGTTAAGCGCGTCCGCGCAACGTAATGGATTCGCGACTTATACCTTCGATAACGCGGTCCGAAGCCGCAGCCGGCCGCCGCGGAGTGGCGCCGCACTCGCCGGCGGAGCTCCTCGAAACGGCAGACTTTAACTATAGCATAACACTTGCGCCACGGCGACTGCGTGTCTCTAATAAGAGGGGACCGCACTCCCTTGCGGTCAGCCTTCTGAAACGACGCCGTTCGGGAGTAAATCGCATGCAAAAACAAACGGGATACATCTCTCGATTGAAAAGTCGAACATCGCCGCCCGCTCCCTCCCATCCCTCCACTAAGGTGATATGAAAGGATCATTCTACATACATAAAGGGTCAAAATATTTATAAGACTTATCTCCAAACTGGGTGCGCCGAATCGTTGGAAACTTCAACGCGTGGTTATGGTGGCCCTAAGGAAGACCGCGACGCTCATGAAATTCCATTGTTCAAGCAAAAATACGTGTCCTTGGTTCTACTCTAAGATACATGCAAAACTTCGGTTGGAGAAATGAAATTTCATGAGCGCCGCGTTCTTCCTTAGGGCCTCCATAATCACGTGCCGAAGTTTCAAATTATTCGGTGCACCCTGTTTGCGAGAACAGTTTGGTGTGTGCTTGCGTGACGCTTTCATATCACCTCGATTAATCAAATTTATTCATACGCATTAAATAGAGAAATAAGAAAACAACAAAGACCAAAATAGAGGTTATATCCACGGAAGTCCGTTCATTAAGACGATTCGATCGTCGCCCTCTCTGCATTGTCCCGCGACGTGTTCGAGCGCCGGCTGAAGAGAGAAGGGGAGAGACGGAGAAAGAGAGAGAGAGAAAGAGAGAGCCCTGCATTACATCGCCGAGTCAAAAACAGTCGGGGAAACTGCAAATCGATACTCGCTTGCGTTTTAGCGGCATTACAGCGAGAGAGTGTGGGAGGGAGAGAGACGGACAGATGGCGAGGTGGCGGGTCGAGAGAGAGAGACGGAGTAAAGGGCAAGGGCTAAGGGGGAGGGCGCGGGGGTGGTGACGAGGGGAAGGGGCGGCCACGCGAGACAAAAAGGAACCGAGGGGACGGCGCGGCGGGACTCGGAGGAGGCGAATCCGTGCGACGGAGATCGAAGACGACTCCCTCTCTCTTCCCCCCCTCTATCACTCTCCATTCCCGTTGTCGCACTTCGGCGAGGTTAACCGGCGAGACCCGCCGTCGCTAGGAGGACGGCTCGAGAATATTTTTCTGACGGCGTGATCGCTCGCACCCTGGGGTTCGCTAGTCCAAGCTCGAGGGTGTTCCTTGGCCGCCGGTCGGGCAACAAGTAATTAAGCCTTCGGGGGGCACGCGCCACTCGAGACTCCCGAAGCCCCTCTGGTTAGGCCGGCCCTGTGCCGGGGTTAATTCTTCAATATTTTTATTCCCCCGTTTTTATGTATACCCTTTTTATTTTTTTTCTTCTTATTTTTTCAAGGGCAAAGATACGAAGTTAGCAGGGGCGTTACACTGAGAAATAAAGGATCAAAAAAGAAGAAAAAAAAAACAATGCTGGTTGACTCGAAGAATTATTATGCGCTGCGAAATTCAAAATCCTGCGATCGGATTCGTTCAACGGAGACGTCGGATTGAGCGAATGAAATTTCGGCAGGAATGGATATATTTGTTTCGGTCAACTATGCTTCTTGGTTTTTTTTTTTCTTTTTTTTTAATACTTTTTTATGCAATTCGGTATACGCGTTGTCACCCCCCGACCTCCAGCTCCGGGAACGCACTCGAAACGAGCTACGTGTAAATATTTTGCGTAAACAGGTCCTGGACGTTATTCGGAGGCTCGGTCGAGCGATAACACGTCGCGGTAAGTCCAAGGTGATCGGAACATCACGTCCCGCTTTCATACACCGGGTTAGTAATTTCGTAACGCGCCGGACAAGATTATTATACGAGGCCCATTAGACACCGTTGGATTCGTTCCAATTTCCGTAACGGGACGGCCGAGGAGAACAAAACCGCGTCTACTGCGTGCTGTTTAAAACAAAGAAGACGACGTTACCGTCGAACCGATCCGAGTAAACCGTAAATAATCGCTGCATCGCCTAATACAGAGCCGTTTGTCCAATAACTCGAGTCAAAATCCCCGCTTAAGGGTCACTTAACGCTCGATGAAGTTACAAATACCTAACCACGGATTTCAATCTTCGGTTAATCTAACTAACGGTCCGACGCGAGTTTAACCAACCCGAGATCAACTGATCGCAGTTTAGGAATTCCGCGCTAATCGCGGTTAGCGCGCTCGGCCGTTAAACGGCACTCCCAGCGACCCGTCGAGACATCGTTTCCGATCGGGCGAACAAGACACCTCGTTAGATTTTATTTAAATTAAGACAAAGTCGACGCCAGCGGCGGCGGAAGGGTCGCGAATCGATTTCGAACGAGGGGGGGCCTTTTGCGAAGGAGTCGGGGGGGGCCTCCAGGCCGGAAAGTTTCGAGGGCGTCGAAGGCTCCCACTGGCCGACTCCGAGAAATCATCCGCCCAAGCCGATCGGATTCATTGGAGAAATTGGTCGAATCGGAGGAAAAGCTCGACCAGCGAGAGAAGCCGGTCGTCGGCCGACTCGGTGTACATGGCGTGCATTGTGCGAGCGGAATTCGTGGCGTGTGCTAAACCCCGCTCGCGAACTTTTTCTCCGAGCGGACCCCGGGAGTTGAACGCGGCGTTGCCGGATCGCGCGGAGGCATTTCCCCCGGATCAGCTGTCCGTCAACCGGTCGATCGGCCCGGGGGAAATAACCTATGGCGCGCCGAGTTCCAGGGGAAACGGAGCCCGGCTGGACGCGAGCCCCGGCGAGCCGATGGAAATTAACCGGAGGATCGAAACTTTCGCGTCGTAACAAAAGTCCGTTTTAACGTCCACGTAACGAATGGGGAAATGCGTGCCATTATTATCCTGGCTCTTTCTTCCCCCTGCGCCGATTCCAGAGTTTCCGGGGAAAGGACTTTAAGGGGATTTTCATGTCTCGTAGAAGGGCCGCGACGAAGGGAGAGGATCGGAAAGGCGTTTATATCGGTGGAAATGATTGCTTAACGGTCTTGAAGAATACCAGTTAAATTAAAAGTGACACAGTTCTACGGGTAGGTTTGCATAATAAGGTTACGCAACGTCGTATTTGTCTCCTAGAATTAAATCGGATATAATAATTGATGCTTCTTTTGTGACTTAGGCAATCGGTAATACAAACGTATTTATCTTCCTTATTTTTATCCATTAACTATCCCACTGCCAGTCGGATTCAAATGTCAGAACATTTAACTAACGTCTAATTGGAATAATTAGGGAAGGAGATATGTGTGCGTTAAGTATGCATATGTAATGTGGTCTTGCAAATAAAATAGCACATAATAATATGTCCTGGACCATCAACGAGTTTTTCCAGACTGTTTAACAAAAAAAAAAAATTGATATGTTGGAAGAAACATATTTCATCTCAGCTGAGATTTATTTCAAATAAAATCCTGATTCTATGGGGAATTGGTTGTTAACATATTTTCCACTGTACTTCAAATAAGTGATCAAACATTGTAATGAAGATTGTAGTAAAGGAGAAATAATAGGAGAGAAAAATGGCTGTCCCATTCCCTAGGTACTTCAAATAAATGGGTTCTAATCTGCTTTTAATTCGAGGCTGATGATATCATTAGGTCTAGGTGCAGCATGTATAATTGACTTCTTTAAAACTTGATAATGAAACTTTTTGAATAATATATCGAATCACTGCCACTTCATTAATTTTTCGCCACTGAATGATTTCATTATTTGCCCTTTTCCTTCCAAGTAATTTATCTCATTTTTATTTTTCCACATTTCCCAATACTGATATAAATCATTAACAGTGATTGAAGTATCCGTGACATTTCTTAGCCTGCCTTGCCACATAAAATTGGAGCCGTGGAAAAAGAAAAATAACTGCAAGCTCAACCGAGATAAGATTATCAAGCAAGATAAAAACCTCAAAACTCTGTCTCTGCTAATGTTAGCCTTATTCGTCATTTTTGTATGTGTTTTGGATTTTTTAGACAATTAATAAGGAAGTATATTAACGAAGAAAATTGATTTACTTATTGATGTGCCGGAACTAACATGCTTTTTTTACATTAAATAATACTGGTACTTCTGTGAAATTATTTCTGCATCCTCCAAATCATGCTTGCTTGTGCGAAAAAAATGTTCATTTGCTTTGATGGTAGATTTATGATATCTGCTGTCCATTTTTACAATTTATACAGCGCTATCGAATATTGGGATATAAGGTGAAGGAAAGATAACTTACCACCACCAGAGTTCCAGCAATTTTCAGTCATCCCTGTTTATCCATCTGCAATGTTGGCACCAGGACATTTACACCAATATCCAAGTGTGTTTAGTTATATCACAAAGAAGCTCCTCTTCTCGAATAGGTCCAGCCACGATGCACTTCTCGTAAGCTTTTCGTATGTAAGAAGCATTTTCAACCGTGTTACACTTTTATGGACACAATTGACTCTTTGGCGAACTCACTCCACTCCGTCATTTGAGGAACACTGAACTAAAATTAAAAGACAACGGGACTGCACGATATTTTAAGAGCACGAAGGTTGACACGATACCGCAGGTAGAGGATACTTCTTGACAAGCATGGATTCCCGAACACTTTCGTAAGAGAGATCTCAAGAGTTTTGGCGAATTTCATCGAGCCCCTCAATGTACAGCCTCTTATCACATGTCATTGGGAAAGAACGAGTAACGCTCCTTGGGATTCATATGAATTATGTGTCGAGCGGACACAATTAAAGTCTCTTTAAAAATCACTTGAAATAGCCAATCTTTGAAGTTCATAAACTCCATGAACCTCAATAATGGAAGCCTTTTTGATCCGAACGTCGAGCCAAGTCCAAGACTTTGGAAAGCCTAAAGAATATAAAAAAAATGTTTAAATAACCTCAATAGAGTGAAAAGTATAGACAAATTTGTTTTATCCAGATAATGCATTTCATTTCTAATTCTCTCTTTCCTCCGTTTTCCATAAATCCTATAATATATATATTGAAAACTACAGGATTCTAAGCGTTAATTTTTAGATTTTTAAAAAGACCGAACCCAAGGCAACTGCTCATCTCTACAAAGTTCATATTCAAAGCACCCCCAACCGGTTCCGATTCCCATTAAATCTGAACTCCATTCCTTTAATCGACAATACCAATGACCCCTTTTCTCGCACCCAGTAGAGATTAAACCCTTACCTGCTCAATTGATCTAAACATCGAGCAAGGCTCACGATTCCAAACCCTCTGCCTTGGGCACGCTCTACCTTATGTCTCGTTCAATTTACTCCGCACTCCACCAATTCCAACGATCGACAAGGATCATCAATGGCTCGCTCCACAGGGTTCCTCTCGAAGTCAGCTCCTCCGCAGGAATTTTGAAAGCCCAAGACCTGAGCCCATGGTCTGCCACACACCCTGGAAGACTCCCTGAGCATGAGGGCTCAGCCAGGCACAAGGTACTCGATCATCCTGGCCAGGGTACGTCGAGGTGCGCACCCGGGGAGGGCAAAAGGATGCCCCTCGAATCCCAAGGAGAGGTTACGTCGTCCCGGTGTCGGGCTCGGCCGAGGAGGCCGAAAAACAAAGGAGCCTCCCCGCAGTCGGCACGGGGATGCGAAAGGGCAAGGAGAGCCTCGCGAGTGACCGACGGATGTACCTGTCGTCCGCGGAGTGTCGAAAATGGCGGTAACGACGGCGGTTTGATACGGAGCGATCGTCCGTGGTCTCGGAGCCGGGCCGTCGTCTCGGGTGGGCCTCGCCAAGGGCGAGGGTTTCCCTCCGCGGCGATGCGCTCTGCCGTCTGCCCGAATCCTCTCTTTCGCCCCTCTCCGCCCCTTTCCACTCCCTTCCTCTCTCTCTCTCTCTCTCTCTCCTCTTTCCCAGCCCACACTTGGCACCGAAGTTTGAGGTTACCGTGCGAATCGATATAGGGGATTTCCTCTCTCGGCTCGCTCGCTCGAGCTCGGCCGAGAGTTTACGGCGTGGCGGCGGCGTCGGGCCGAAACACCGAGCTCTCCTCGCCCTCGTACGGGCCACTCTTCGGCGCAGCGACGCAATCCCGCACGTAATCGGTGACGACGCACGCAACTCGATCGACTCGACGTTCCAAAGCCGCGAGAGACTCCGAGGAGCGCGTTTCTCCGAGGCGGCCGCGAGTCGTGCCGCGACTCCTGCAACTCCTGACGTGCCCAGACGCGACACGGCGCGCCGCGGCGGCTACGACGCGCGGAACACGGAACGGACCAGCCACGAGGGACACCAGCGGCCGCGCGGAATCCTTGCGAACGGACCGACTAACACGCACGGCCCGCCACGGACACGGCGAGCCCTCGGTCCCTCTCTCTCTTTCTCTCTCCAGCGTCTCCTTTACCGCAGGCGAGACAGAGAAAGCGAGCGCGCGCCCCTGCGGCCGCTCCGTCTCTCTCGCTCCCCCGGGAGCACCGGTCGCCCCCTCTCGCTCCCTCTCTCTCTCGCTCTCTCTAGCTCGCGCTTCTGCGGTCGCCTATCCGATCGCCCCTCTCGCTCCTGCGCACGGCGCTCCCGCCTCACTTCTACTCTCTCGCTCTTTTTCTTCGTCCCGGAATAACGAGGTTACAGCTTGTCGGCAAAACGCGGTGGCCGGTGCGAGTCGAGGGAATTTCGGTCGCGGGGCGTGGAGGGCGCCACCGGAGCGAGAGCGCCGAGGTCCCGAACCGCCGCGCCGTCGAGACCGCGGGTTAGCCGAGTGTCGAGTGCAGGGTTGGGTAGGTAAAATACCCTAGGTAATTTACGTACGTTTTTATGATAAATTACTAGGTACCTTACTTTACAAGTTTCATACGTTATGTAAATTAGGTGGGTATGAGACGTTATGTTTTTGCACTTCCTATTCCTGATATGGTTGGAATTCGACATTTTATATGGAATGTATGGAAAACTCGGATCGTCATTTTTATCGTGGAATTTATTAGGTATTTTACTTTCCTTAAGTATTTTACGTGAAAAACCTCGAATGACGCGTCATTGCACGATCTTCGCGTCGAGTACCCCGAACTACGTTCTATGCACACTTCACGGCGCAACGACTACTCTCGCGTCTACGGAAACCGATCCGGCCGCGGATGCGAATCTTTTCACCTTTCGATTTCGAAACGATTTCCGCCGATGCTTATCCAATGGACGTTTCAGCCGGAAATGTCGTTGAGGAAATTATCTACGCAGAGGGAGGAATTATTCCAACCGCTGAAAGTCTTGTTCCTTCCCGATTGCCCTGACGTCGTCGTATTTTCTTTTCAGGTGTTAATGCACGCGTATACTCGGATTGACGGGGTAAGCACGGAGAATCCTCGCGCCGAATTGAATACACATCCGCGCCATCTACATAACGGCAGGGCCGTCGAAAGACGGGGCCTGGGGCCGTCGAAATCCGGGCATGAATTATTCATCCCTTTAAAGGCGAGGTGAAACACTTCCGAAATCTTTTACCCTGTACGCGATACGTAATGCACGCAGGAATTATGGGACGCGTGGCACGGTGACACGATTGAGGGTACTTCGGAACTGTGCATGTGAACTGACTAATGGAACTCGTTTATTATATAGGAATGTACGTATGTGTATAAATAAATAAATGTAGATGCATCAATCTGAATATAAATTTAATTTATATAGCGGATCATCGATAGACATCCGTTTAGCATATTTCAATATGGCGTCGCAAAATGGCCGCCGCCCGCCGATTTAACCGTGGACTCAACCCTTCTCGTCTACCGGTCGCAACATGTAGACTCGCAATCGAACGCCCCTTGTGGGCAACCTAACCTCACTCGGAGAGAGCGTGTCCCTACGCTAATGCGTTTCGCCTCCGCCCCGACCCGCCCCTAACCCCTTCGCCCGCCACCGCGTAATAAGACGCATAAGACCGGGGCGTTTTCTTTTCCGAAGCTGCGGTAACCGCGTACAGAGCTCTGAACACTTAGCCGTTCGGCGAGACGGGTTATTATTAACGGTGCGACGTAAGCGCTACCATCCGAGGACTATTGATAAACTCCGCGGCTCGGCGAGAGTCTCTCCGACAGCCGCCATCTTGTCTCCGAACTCGGAGGAAAGAGATCTTCGTTATCGGTGAACTTCGCACCGATTGAGTCCACGACGTCCTTGAAACGCGCCCCTGCTCGAGATCGGGGATAATCTAACCCTCTATAACGTTTTTATTTCCAGGCCAAAAATTCGACAGGATATAACCAGACATGACGTCGAATCGCTGAGCCCCGATCAAGGGGCTATTCACTTCAGTCATTCAAATCAGTGAAAACAATTTCCTTCTTTGAGAGCCGATTGCCTTTGATTTCATATGATAGACAACAATGCGATTTGGTAACGAGTGACGTTCGGCCTTAAAATTGTGACAGTGACAGATTATCAACGATTTCCACGTGAATTTCGAGCGTTAAAATCCATGATTTCCTGAGTGAATACCGATACCCTCGGTACCGGTCTTGGAAGAGCGCCGCCATCTTGTTTTCCCGCCGAGGAACGAGACTCGTCGTAGAGCTCCGTAAGAACGTTGTTATCTTCCTCTTCCTAGATAGGATCGAATTGCTGGATAGTAAAATACATGCTGCACTTCGCAAGACGATGACGTACTTTTTACCGCAGTTATACGCTCCTCAACGGGCGATCGATCGTACGCGTCACGAAGGTTTGCGGCTTCTTCGGACCGTGGGTATACATTCGACGAGACTTTCCGTTAGAGCCGGTATGATTGGGTAATTTTGAGAAACGTGACGCGAAGTCTTTTTTCAACCGATCGCTGTGTGTTGCAGGGAAGGAGCTATTAATCGGGAGAGGAAGCAGAAAGAGGGCAGCGAAAGTACGGATTCAATTTCGCTAATAGCTGGAGTATCGATGCGGGGATTTGCCACAAGATGGCCGGGAACTCCGTAAACCCGAATGCGCCTCAAAGCTCGGCGAGAAGAGCCGAGAATCGATAAACGCTTCGTTCCCACTGGCGAATTACGGATTAACGAGTCGGAGCCACGAAAAAGATTGGTCATCTCCGAAGCGTTTCCTCGAATGAGAACCAAAACGACCTTGAGATGATATTAATGCTTCGCGTTCCGCGAAGTCGTTTCCGCGTTACCATTTTACTTTCATTTCTGCCATATATCTATGTACGGTCATCCGTTCGCGCATCGATCAATTGTTTTTACTGTAAACAGACTTACCCTTTATACGCTCAGAACTGCGGTCCATGGAAGAGAGCAGCTACATCACATATCCACTGGAATGATTTTTCCGCCAATCTACGGCAAGGACTCCGATTAGTCATTCAAGAGGACGGAATAAATTCTGCGGTATTTTTAGACGTACGAAAGATCGTAAACGGAGGATTTGCAGTGATTGAAGCATTCCGCACGGGGGTCCCAGTAAACGCTCGAAATATTTGACCCAGATACTGGATACTGGTGGTCAGGTAATTATTCGAAAAACGAGCTGTACGTAACTGAACCGCAACATTTTTAAGTGAGTATCGGCTTCGAGTATTAACATCGGAAAGAGTTACATCATCCCACAGTGAAAACATTGTTCCGGTGTTCCAGTTAGGTTATATTTAAGCATTGCCGTATCATCGGTGTTATCGGTGTTTTTCTACAAATCCGCGCGTCAACGTGATCATGCAATGTGCCTGCTAAGCGATTCGCAAGAGCCCCGAAAAAAAAGAAAAAAATTGAACGGAATCGAAGAGCACGGAAACTTCTTAGTTTTATACAGGAGAGATGAACGAGGTAAGGGGGGGCACTTTGGATGTGTTATTCGTATAATTAACCGCTTTCGTCGGTTGTATCTTGATAGGTCAGCTTATCACGCCGAGCAGAAGCGTATCTATCTTCGATGATGAAGATTCGAATGTTTATTCCGGTGGATTGAGAAAAAGTCGAGATAAAAGGCCTACTAGACTCGATGTTAATAGTTTCGTCCAGCGAAGCTTGATCGATGAATAATTAAAAGCGTACGTGAGTTAGAGCCCTGATTTCACGCAAGGCTTTGTAACGAGCAGCCTTGAAATTGGGTCGTAAAAATAAGAAGAAAAAGAAGGAAAAAAAACGAGCCATCGGTGAGATTCCTCGTCTGTTCGTTTCTTCTGTTTTCGATCCGTCGACGTCTACGACCAAGATGCAAATACCTTCGCTTTAGTGGTTTCGTTGGGCACATTGTTAAATATTTAACCAATGTTTTAATTTTAATCGTTGTATCGACAGGTCTCGGGTTCCATCGGTTAACTAGGAAGCGTCTTTTGCAAGTCGGTCAGTGTAGATCCCGGTCGGTAATGTCGAGGAAGAAGGAGGACAGAAAACACGAAGTAGAGGGCGCCCGTTCACAGAGCATCGGCATCACCGACTAAACTGATCTACGACGTTACCGAGCCACATTTGCGGCCATAAAAAGTACTTTCGTATTTATTTCCTATGATATGCGTGAAAATCAAATATATTACGTATTTTTATTCAAACATGCAAACTGAAGATATTTTATACTTGAGAAAGGACGCATGGCAATTAAGCGCATGTTCTGGATTAGTCTCTTTTCGGCGGCATTTTTTGAACGCTTATTCGTACGGAAAGAACCAAAGTCCGTAGCAAGTGTTGCTTTTCCAAGTTTTTATTTCCAGTCCCACGAGATATTCACACTTTCTATTGTTGCAATTTATTACAAAGGACTAAGTATTTCCTAGAAGTCAAAAGTCAACGACGCGAATAATAGGTATCAAAAGTTCCAGGTAGAAGGATTTATTTCGCGTGTTCGGCAATTCCTGTACTAATGGTGTTTCCTTACGTTTACCTTTGGTCGGGTCTGAAATACAAGGTCTCGAGGGAAATTAAACAAATCGTTATTAAAAGGAGATCATACACCTCTCGTGGGGTCGCCGCTACTTCGCGACTGCTACTATTTATTTATTAAAATTGACTAAACGCACTTTACTTTGGCGACTCCGCCATCGAAGCGATGTTCACATCGAATAGCTGTTTCTTTCTACATTGTGAGGGGGGGTGAAGAGTTGTGTAATGAGATGTCTACAAACAGTTAAGTTAAAACTTGAAGTACTGTATACCGTCTCGCGTTTCGCAATAATTGTACGACAAACGATAAATGTTTGTAGGCACGATCATCGTGGCTACGGAGGTACTTTTGGCGATCCCGTAACTACAAAACGGAATTACGAGTGAGCTAATTTAATAAGTAAACAGTTTAATCGGCGAGTCGATCATTCGATTATCCTCTCGGCTCGGTTAGGCTCATTTACATAGATAAATGACCCTAACGAATACATACTAATACGTATATTTTTAGGGCCACTGCATAGGTCTCTACTAGTTCGTTGAATTTAACATCATCAAGACAGTTAAAGCACCGAAATGGCCGTGTAATCGCGAGTTTACGTATCGTTAATCTATTCGCAATCGGGATCGATCAAGTGTTCAATGCGATTTTGCGTTTTACAATCGATTTTGCGTACTATAATCTTGCGTTAATCTATGTTGTCACTCGAGTTATTCTAAGCCCTGTAGTAGCCATCGCAATTCTTTTTTTTTTTCTTCTAACACTTGAAATTATTACACGACGCACAAAACGAGTAGGGTATGTAAATCGACCCCTCGGAGTTTCGAATCTTCGATCGCCTTTAACGAGGTCAAATATCTACTTAACTACGTGCTATTTTAATTCCCTCCATTTCACGGTTCACTGTAAAAAAATTTCTGTGAAATTACAAAAAGTACCGAGACAAACCTTGGAAGAGAAATAATTGGTTTTACGACACAACGTACCCGAGTGATCCTAGGTTATTTTATTACCGCGGACTAGCTTTTTGTAATTCCACGTGAAAGATCTTTCCCAGTGGTCGTTACATCGATTCGTACATCCTATTATACATAAATGCTAAATATACAGACAAGATGAATCAATGAAAGGATCGTCTAATACGCATTCGCCACTATTTGAGATGCGATGAATTACCGTGATAGGGTCCGGGTGATATTGCGTACGTACTCGTATGACTAGTACAAGAATTTTCTCAGGAAGCACCCGCTTTCCTCGGGTACAAAACGTACAAAATTATTAATTGTCTATCCGACGTGTATCCGTACTGAACACCGTCTCCTAATCCCCGACTCGCTCGAATTTATTCGCGTACGAGTACTGATTTCCTCCTCGGTCTTATCACCGAAATATGAGATTAGAAGCGGTCGATGTGACGATTATAAACGAATAAATCCGAGCAAACTCAAAAATACAATTTCTGAAGCAACGGGAACGAGCATTCGTTCGACTAATTTCAGGTAGCTTCGTTTAGCGAAAATCATGAAGATCATCGTACACAGAAATACACATGTACTAGAATTAATTAGCTACGTTAATTACCTCGTTGATGCAAGTAAATACATAAATCAATTTTAATTATTTCCATACGAGATAGTATCTCCATTATACATTAAATTTTTCAGACAATTCAACCGCGTTCTTGTCTGTTGTTCCTTGACATTTCTGCGTACCGTGTCTTAATGACATAGTAAATCTTCGTACTAATTTCAAAAGATTTCCGTCTTAGTTAGAGGAAGGATAATCGCTCGAGTTTGGCACAACGAAGAAGAGATTGAAATTAAACAGCCCGTAAAAGTCGTGCCGATGCTAAGGAATCTTAATACAAAGCATATAAAGAAACCTTTATGTATAATATAACATTTACAGTTCTAAAATATCACATTACAACTTCCTTCTATAGAATTAATTACGAGTGTTTGCGTATCTACTCAGTACAGCTTGACTCGTCGCATTAAATAACTAACTTAATATTAATTAAGAGCATAACAGGCTTATATGGGAAATAAAATTAGGTACAATCGTATACGCTAGTCGTGCCATCGATCAAAAAACGAATCGCATAAAATTCGCTTTTAATTCATATATGAAACATAATTAGCTAATCCGTATCTCGTGACTATGTTGCTAGAGAAAAATATGTCAAATTACAAAATCTACCCCAACGCCATAGAAAACGAAATTTACAGTTAATTTAGGCATAGTAAGAGCATTCGTTTTGCGCGCATTTGTTTCGAATTTTATATATTTATAAAATTCTATTTGGGGTATTTGCATTTTAATTACAAGAGATAAATTCAAATTTTACATTTTTTTTCTTTTTTAGATTTTTTGTGAACACAGTAGAAAAACCTAAAGTGCGTGTGTTCTGGGTTATTGCAAAAGTTAGTATGGTTTATTGTAAATTTGTGAGGTCTCCATGGATTTTTTGGAAAAGTGATATTTGTATCTTCGTCTTATTCTTAGCTTCAATTCTCATGCTGACACAATATTGTTCCGTTTTAATGCATATATAACAGTATTAAATCATTCAGGAAAAGAAACTTGAAATATACTATTTTGTATTAGTTAAAACATAAAAAATTGAAATCTCAAAAAACAATATCAACTGTATGAAGACATTAAATATAAATAACTATTTGAGTGTACTTTTAAAAACTGCTTCTAATGAAAGGAATAAAACCGAGAAAAGTATTACAAAAAACGGCAATGGATTATAGTGGTCTATGACTGAATTCTTCAATATTATAGGTTCTTAATATTTTTGTATAAATTTCTGTAAAAAACTACTCTGGTTTTGAACGACTGGGAAACAGAACCTATTTTTTTTTTTTATTGAGTTTCTTATTTGATAATGCGAATAGACAATGGACCCAAAAATGACTTCACATTGCCTCTTGTTCACCTTTTATGACTCAACGTTATGTGAATTTAAAATTTGTGTACAAATCGATCCTGTAACTTTTACTCACCATAATGTTCAGGAACCAACAAGTTGTATTTGTGTGAAAGGTCTACCACTAAACTTTATGAAAAATTACACGATCGATATACTTTAATATATATTAATAGATATTTGCAGTAGACTTAGAATTTTAAGCTAACAGGAAACGAATTTTATCTAACACTAATACGAGTTCTTAAATTGTTTAATAATCAGTACATCCAGTACGTCTTTCTCTTCACTTGGCAAGATCATGTCAGTTAGGTTTACAGTTCTTGACCTGTGACGTTAATCAGAGATTTCCCAACATTGCGGTAGTTCTAGATACTTTTCAGTAGTTGTAAATGTACAAAACCCGTTAAATTCACCTTTAAGAATTTATGAATGTAAGAATTTTATGTGTTCCGTATCTCAACGAGTTCTGCACGATGGGCTTATAATTCCGTTTAAAAGTTAAAACTGCCCCATAAGATCTAATCGGTTTCGATTGCAGAAACTGCGCAAATATAAAAGGACATTTTACTTACTCCGTTTCGTTATTCGGAGAGAATCAGGAGTTTTGGTAGAACCTCAAGACAAGTACAATAAAACCAGAGCTGAAATTTTGGATTTCGCTGCTGATCGGTCCATCCTGTTACACTCCACCGATACTGTTATCATATTTTCTGTTTTGTGCCACTCAATATTGTCCACTCCTTGTTTCCATCAGAACTTGTTATAAATTTGCATTTCATAAATCTCCCCAATTCATCCAAATTACCTCCAGGGAAGCCTTGTTAATTTCATTTCAAGGATTGTCTAATCATTACGGCCAGTAACCAGGGTCTTCATGTTCTGGACTTAATCGGCATCTGAACATCTACTTCATTCCCATCGGTACTGTCCACGAATACACGATATCTCGCTTTCTTTTTTCACTCTCCAAGAACAGAAAGCAACTAAGTTAGCGACACTAGCGATTAGATATCCGGATGCATGCACACGTGGAAGCGGATATCGAGTGTACGTGAAGATGTACTTAAGCTATTTACTCTAGCACTAAGTAACCGTGAATCCGTATAATAATTAATTTGCGTCCACTTCGGTCTTCATAAATATATAGTTACATTGAGTTCGGCCTTTGCTTCTATCTGGATGCCTTGTTGCGTTTCGGCCATGTTGGGCACGACGATACCCTGTCTTTTTCTTTCCATCGCTCTAAACGTTCCAACGAGGTCGGAGGCAACAGCCAGAGACCTCGAGTAATATGTCAACAGAATTAATAGTGAAGTAACCATCGGTATCTAGTTCGTGGTAGCGTCTGCACTACTTGTAGGAGCCTCGGCTACTTCCTCGGCAACTTCTGGTTTATCAGGCATGACGGATACGACCTGTCGTCCATCAATCGCCTGTCCATCCACTTTTCCATCGACGTCGATAGGTTGGACCGTCGTTAGGGTACTCCACCAATTTGAAAAGGCTCCTTTGGCTTGCGAGATCGCGCCGCCTTTGCATAACAGAAATACATTATAAACTTATATAAAAAGTTTACAAAGCGATACGTACCTACTGCTTTTCCGGTCGTGGCTACAGCCCTGCCCGTCGAGGCCATGGCTTGATTTATTTTCCTGCCACTCTCCGTGTTCTGCATGGTACTAAATAAAAATAATAAATAGTATCTCTCAGCTAGTAACCTCTTCAAGTAATTCAACTCTCTTTCGACTTACTGAGATAGACGTAGCTTCATGTCCTGCACTGAAAGCTGCCCAGCAAATGGATGGCCAGGCTCGACGCTGTTAATTTCGGTCTTGCTCAAGCTTTCCCACGATTTATAGTTGTTCGTATTTCGCCAAGCGGTCATAAAGGCCGAGTTGAAATGATCAGATTGTCGAGTGTCTTGTTGCAAGGAAGTACGCAACAGGCTCAAGAGATAGACTCGAAATTGCGTTCTGATCCACTCGTCGCCTCCTGCCCAACCGACTCCGTCTAGGAAGACGTCCTTCCTAGGTTCAGCCACGTGACGAACTATGTAATCGGCAAACCTAAGATCCTCAGTAGTCAAGTGTAATTGTCGTCTTAGCTCTGGGTCTGTTGCTTCGATTCGGGCACTTTCGACCTGCCGGAATAAGAAAATATGTTATTTAAATAATTAAAATACTTTTTAAGATAAAGGAAAATGTAGTTTGGTGCTTACCTCGACCAGAACGTCGATCAGCTGTTTTTTCTGCTTGAATAGAACATTGGTAGCTCCTACCACGTACCCTCGCACATTAATATCGCCTAGAAGGTCTAAATATGGGAGTGAGAGATACGGCAGGCAGAGATACCCCTGAAATAAAAATAGATAATGTTTCATATCAGCCTGACGTCAAGGTAATAAAATTCAACGCCCCTCCTTGGAAGACATAACTATTATGTTTTGGTGTTGATTATATCGAGTATTGAAACGAACGTATTATTACCTTAACGAATATGTTTAATGGCAATCCACAGAGATCAGGGTTTATGTGGGCAATTTGTGTGATATTGTTTGTAACACGGGCATCCGAGAGAGCGTCATTACTTGTATCTCGAGGTAAACTAGCATCCACGTCTCCCATTCCCAAGTTAATAGTATATACACTATGAACTCGATGTACATTGTCATTTGGTTTTGGGGAGTACTTTGAATTACTCTCGTCAGTGTATGCTTCTATGCATTCCTTCGATGGTTCTACTTCAATTAATTTTTGTTCATTGCTGACATTGTCGTTATTATTTCTGATCGAAGGTAGATTTAGCCCGTCGAGGCATTTTCCCTCCATTGTTTCCAAGGTTTTATTGTCATTTAGGCATATAGAATTTTTGTTCTCTATGTCACTGCTTGCCGTATGATTCACATCTGCCTTCGATTTTTTAGTTTCATTTGAACTAGACAAGTTAGAATCGATAATATTTGTTAGTATTTCTTCGTCGTCAAAATTGGGTATCGGAGACATTGGTCTTGATGGCCTTAAAAAGGAGAAATAATGTAGGAAAAATATAAAAATAATAATCTAGTATGTATACGGAGCAGTTCAGACAAAATGATCAAAATTGATTATTTGTCTTACTTGACGCATGCAGCTTGTTGTAATCCATTTTCAATCATTCCAGGGTACAATGATAGTAATGTAAGAATTGCAGAACAGAGTGGTTGGACTGGAGACTGGTAAAAGACGACTTTTTTTTCAAGCAGCAGTAATTTGAATAACAATACTGCCTTATGCCTAAACTGCAATATGAAGTCTCTTGCGGACAAGCCTGTGAAAATAATGTAATGTTTATGTTTGTATTTACGACAAGGTATTAAATTGATATAAATCGATAGTTACCAACAAAAATTTGTGGCGGTGTTTGGCTATCGCCATTCATGCAAGAGTTTAGATGATGGTATGTGTCTTCCAACAGTGAAACTTTACTAAAATCTCCTTCTTCAAAATATGCATGCGTTATCAAAGCCATTTTTACTTGGATATGTCCATACAAGGGCATAGTACTTAACACACAAACAGACTTTTGTACAGTTCCTCTGGTGATATCAGAAGTGCGATTTTTCAATTTCTAGAAATAATAAATATCAAAGATTAGTATTATAACACTCACAGGCGAATATTTATTTAAATTGTAAAACTTGCCTCTACTGGGATTTGTCTGAAACATGATACTCCATACACTGTACGCTTAGGATCATTAAGGCTGGGTAAATGGAAAAACACAGTATCTTCGTCATAATTGTGTGATCCATCTGGTAGCGCGAGAGTTGGCAGATATTTCCAACCCAATGGGCATTCGTTCGGTGCACTTGGTACCAACGGAGGAAACGAATATTCCACCTAAAAGAATAAAAACATTTTCGATAACTTACTTATGAAAAGTAAGTTGAAACAGGTAATGGAGTCATAAAATTATAATAAAGGATACAAAGGTCTTATAACTTCTGCACAACTGCATCTAATTCATAAACGTTCTTTAATAATAAAACAGCTTCAAGTGTTGAAGTTGTCATTAAATATTAGTAACCCTACATCTTAAAATATGACAATTACACACTTTCATGAAGTAATTCCTCGGTAAACAATAAAAGTATACGTGTAAGTCTGTAAAAGGAAATTCGTCGATTGGTTTTTGCTTACTTGACATCCTTTTTTATGGTGAAACCCAACGACAATTACGTGAAGAATCGGCCCGACTGATTCCGCCATATTTGCGACTTGGCGATGAACTGTAATAACATTCACTGCCTCGATAATTTAAAACATCGACCAATTTATTAACTTCATTTTTAGAGAATACAGGAATAACAACTCCATTCTTCGTCTGACATACCGATAGCAGACGGATTAACATGCGCCATCTTGATTACGGCTCAGACACCATGCACTTCTCCAACCAAGGTTTGTTTCTATGACGCGGCTAAAATACATTCGATTACACCGTTACGACCATAGACATATAGCAGGGATGAGTTGGGAGATTGTTCACGGGCAAGGTTGCATGATCGCATTCTGTGCTACTCTTGGTGGAGAATGTGGGCGGCTTGTGCACTTATCTCCAATGGCAACCCAACTCACAGGTAAAATGAGAGCAGAAATAAGTTGGTTCCCTGAGTTGAGCCACTATTGAGGGCAAGTTGCACGATCCGTCCGCATTGTTTACTGACGGCAGCACAGAATGCAAATCGCGTGACCTTGCCCGTGAGCAATCTCCCAACTCATCTCTGCTAATCGCTGAAGAGAAATTGTTCCTCTAAATTGAGAATAGGCCTAAGGAGGAGTCAATATTTCAAGTACACGGCATATCTAGCGTGTTACTTTATTCGAGGCAGTCAATTGCAGTGACAGCTTGTCAGATTGGAAGTCGTCTGCACGAGGAGTGTTCAAACGAAAAATATGCGGAAAAGTAAGTACAAGAAATATGTTTCACCACAACAGGTTATAAGTCTTAATATTAATCTTATAAATCACTGCAGTTCCAGTATTTGACCGCGAAGCGCGTCCCCGCTGTGAAATGCTGAGCTCGTTTTCATGAAACACCGTTTTACTCAAAATTCCTCAAGATCTCCTTCAGGGGACTCGGTCGAGCAAACTCCCGAAGATGAGCAAGATTCAAGGAGGTACTGACAAAAAAATGTCACAGCTGCCAAGCTGGTTGTGGGTCAACTCGAACAGTCTGCCTCCGATTTATAAGCATGTGTGGGAAGCTGCTCGAGAGGACAAACCTAGTCCAGGAAGCATACATGGGGAATTGCTCGTCGACACCAATAAAGTCTTTCCGATTTTGCTCAGTAGTCATCTACCTGCTCATGTGTTGGGATACATCTGGAGTCTCGCAAATCAAAAGTATGCAGGGAAGCTTACCGAACAGGAGCTATACGTTGTTCTAGCACTGGTTGCAATTGCCCAAGCTTCTTACTCTTTCAATAGCCTAGATATTTTACATTTTGTCCCTGTGCCACCAACACCTTTCTTGAATACCGCATTATTAGACACCAGGGACAAGGGTGATCGAAATGCAGACCCGTCATTCTCCTTTGAATCTAACGTGAATGTCAACACTTTTGGTGGGAAACACGTGCTTCAAGGAAAAGCTGGAAGTAGATCGAATCCATCTGACACGATACCATTTGGGCCAGCTCATTCATCATTCAATGGGAAGTTTCCAAATGATGGAAAATTGGATGTAAAAATTCAACCTACCGGTGGACAACCAGTAAGCTTAAATTCTGTCGGTTTCCCAGATGGAAGACACAACTTTCAGGTTCATCAAGATTCCAGAGTTACAAGCAATGCTTCGACGACAGATTTTGGTGATGATTTTTCAGATTTTCAGAGTGCTCCTATTCCTAGCACTCCTACTATTTCCATACTGGATACAAAACAAGGCTCTGCTATTGGAAGTAGGCTCGCTAATCATAATCTGGGAGTGAAGCGACCTAGCGATAAAGTCAAAAAGTCTAGTGCCAACAAGAACTCTCATACCAATGCTCAGACTCGTTCATCCGCAGCAAATGTATATCCAGCTATGCATACTAAGGATGGAGTAATGACTGAACGAGTGTTAGAATTATTTCCTAAATGCACATTGAAGAGCCAAGCAAAAACTGTAATTCTGAAGGATACAGTGATAAGAAATAGCGAACCACCCAGAACAATTGAAAGTAGTTCAAAAAATGCTGCCATCGTTAGCGAAAAAGCAAGTTCCATATCGAATAGTTCTACTGCAGTTCTAGGATATGGTAATAAGGTATCTATGAAACGTTAATGATTCATGGTAATGCCTAATATTGTTTAAGTTTTCAAGTCTTATATATTTTATTGTAGGTTGTACCGAAGGATGCAGAATCCGTTCAGCAAGATCTAATGAACCTGCAGCCAGTGGAAGATAAATACAGTGCATTGCGCATCTTAGTGGAAGATGCAAGTCCGTCCCTTGTTGAACCCTCCACTTCACCAACTCGTGATGATTTTGGTGACTTTGTTTCCGCTGAGCAACCTGAACCAGCTCAGATAGCTGTAAATTCTTCCAGTTCTGGAAGTTCATTGGATTTGTTCACTGATTTTGACTTCAAGCAGCCTATAGATGATCCTAATCAGAAAGATACGTCATTAATTCAGGCAATTTCTGAAACTTTTGGTGCTCTTGAAATTGAAAGTAGCACTGACCAACAATCATTGGAGGACAAATTTTACACCTCCAATGAACCTGGTAAATATAACGTATAAGTATTACAATGATTAAAAAAGGTGAAATTTTTAAAGTGGTCTTTTTTGACTCTTTTAGATAAAACATTTCAAAAGGAAGATGCGCTATCTATACATAGCATAGAATTAGGAAATGGTACGACAGGAGGTTTGACACGATCTGGATCGGTACCTAGTTTAGATCTGAAATCATTTTTGCCATCTACCCAAGATGAAGAGCAGCAAGTAGAAAATATGCACCAGGTAAGCTTCTGTTTAAATAAAACTCCAAGAAAAAAAATTAATTAAGCTCTTTAATATTACTTAATTAATTTTAGCTGATATACTGGGAGTGGAAGCAGTACATGGAAAGTTGTGTTTTATTGCTACAAGTCGCAGCAAATCTGTTTACAAATATTACATCAGAAGTAGTATTACGGGAAGTCTTATCTTCTGCTCAAGGATACAATTTTCTCTGCAGTAAGTCATATTTGAGTGTCAATAACTTAGAAAATATTGTCATAACGAGCTGTACAATTTTGACATCATACTTTAATAGATCTAGCCGAAGTTGCTGCAGTTTGCAGACGAGTGAACTTTTCGCACAAAGAAATGGATATAAATATTATGGGATTCGATGACCTTTTACTGGATATCGATAGAATTTGGGCTGAAATGGAACCATTTTATGCTAACATTCCGGTAAGTGGAATAGTATCACGAAAGTGGTCGTGTTAAGTAAAATTTTATTCTATTAAAAAAAAATATTACTACAATTCACAGATTGTAACAGAATTACCAGTATGGCCGGAACATCAAGGGGAGGGTATGATTTGCGCTTTATGCTTAACAGTTGTAACTAGTGGTAGAGTAGTTTACAATGAAAATAATTATCATGCAACGTGTGCTAATTTATGGCTAAACTGTGTGAGCAGTGATCTCCCTGCCTTAGCATATTCTACGTTTCAAATGCATTCTTCAGTACCTTCGAGTAGCAGTCACATTTGACGTAAAGTCAAGTAGGGATTTATAATTGCAGCTTGAATACCTCCTGCCATCAATGCAGTTTACAATTACAAAAAAAAAACGATATTGTTCTCGGGTCATGATTATTTGTAATGTATATTAAACTGTACAATTGATTTAGTTGATTGTTTTGTTAACCGCTTAGCGCGAGTGATAAATGCCAATGTTCCTTTATGATTAAAAAATGGGGCCAATCGAACTACTCATTCCCATTAGAGCCAGTCTTTCAGTGATCTAAGCAAAGCACACATGTCGATGTACAGGTTAAAACATTAATAACTTCTTTTAATCTAATAATCCAATAGGCGAGTCGAAAATAGCAGTTTATTTCTACAAAATATGAACCCCTTAAATTTCTGTGGTATAAACTATTTTATTGGATATTGTTTACAAATATCAAAATATATATTACTCTACAGGTGGTGTTTTTAGATGTACGAATAGCCTGAAGGAGGAATTCTACAAGCTCAGTACTTACTTTGACTGATTTTTTGTAGAATTAGATATATACTCGATACAATGTATACCCCTTTTAGCATTAAATATCTAATAACATAGAGCAAATACAAAATATATCAGTAGAATCAAACTCAACTTCTGTTGATACTGATGTAACAAGTCACACGGTCAATGTCTTTGATTTTTCAATACTGAAAAGGATAAATTAATATAAAATTTACAAGATCTGTATCGTACTTTATTAAGGTGAATTACAAATTTCTTTATATTATACAATTGAAAAAATGTATCGTTTGAAGTATTTTACAGTGCTATCGTTGACTTGTATCCCGTGGCCTGTAAACGATGCCTCTGCTTTTCATATCTCTGATTACACCGGCTGGGAGACGTCCTGATACCGATATAGCATAAACTCCTTTACAAAATCGATCTGAAATGTACAAAATGAATTTTTTATTTTATCCCGATAAACTTAATAGGTTCTTATAATATTCTTTGACCAGGAATGGTGCCACATTAGTACTAGCAGGAGAGAAGCAAGCACAGATGTATAAATTAAAGTATAGCCTAATACTTGTGATAAGTGAATCTCAGTATGAGTATGCGGTCTGACATCAATTATCATTTTTAGTTTTAATATAGATTTAAAGTAATAATATACATAAATAAAGATATATACTTAAAACATTACAACGATGTGAATTATACATCAAATAAAGAGATGAAAAAAAATATATGAAATTACTTACTAATTCTTTGCCATTTACACACCCAGCTATCTTCAGGACTCATAGCTGCGATCATGCTATAATCATTTATAATGATAGTTAATAATACGTCACATAAATATATGAACTACAACGTACAAATACAAACGAAACGTACCCATCAAAGTTAGAACTAGTACAGTCGAAAACATTGTCCTTGTTATTCTTCATGCGCAAGAATTCATCGCAATTATCACAGCCATCGAATTCGAACTGATCGAAGGTCTGTTGTCAAACATTTAAAATATACATACAACAGCAACACGATGTAATATATTACTATAAAGAGAAATTGTTCAATGTACCTTGATTAACGAACAAACTAAACATGCTCTTAAACCACGCAAATCTTTGGGAACTGTTTCCATAGACATGCTTAGTCAACGAATTTCAATTATTTGTCAGCTTCGAAGAATTCCGATTAGTATTCACTTTTTGCACTCAGTCTCTCTCAATAATAAATAGTTGCAATATTTATTTACGTGAATGTCACTCACTAGTTGATCTACGAATATTTAGCAATGAATTGGTTCGTACACAGATGTGCACCATGTCTTCATCAACTACACCAAAATCCCGCTACCAGAAATGAGCAGGCCGCTACTGAGCTCCCGCTGAGAGCAAAGAGTATTAGCAGTCTCTGGTATTAGAATGCGACAAGTTACATGTCGTCATCTGCCAGTTACACCAAGTACAGAATTTTAAGCGTTATTTTAGGAATGCAAAAGGCTGTCACGGCATCCACTGAAATATGTAGCAAATATTTCAGTGGTCACACATCATTGGACAAATTATTTAAGGCATTCCTTCATATTGAAAACATAGTTCATGGTAAGTTTCGCGTTTGACACCCCAAAAAGTAAGCGTTTATACCACGTGTTTCGTAAAACATTGGGCTTATAAACGCGAATAACCTAGGGGGAGTTATAAATATCCCTAGGACCCCGAAAGCGAAACCTGCCACAAACTATGTCGATACGAAGAGATGCCACAGCTGGTGTGTTCAATAACTGTTTCCTATACTCTCTACCCAAGCGAATCTGTGATGAAGCAGTTTATGACACTGCGAGTCCCACCCCGCGACCGCTGCTACCCGATCTATGTATCGTCCAAATTCTTCGGCGCAATGTCAGTCACCGTTCCCAAAGTTGGTATCAATGTCGATTTTTTTTTTTATCAGAATTTCCAGGACAATGATGGCGATCGGTTCTTGTCGCTATAAGGTTTACCTGTTGACAGTCGCAATCAATTTCCTGTGAAGGAATATATCCGACAGGGAGGACTCGAAGGAATCAAAGTGCCCCCGATGGACTCGTCGCGAGAAAATATCAGGTTTCTCGATGGAAAAGTGCGAGTTTTCACAGAAAACTTGACCGACCAAGCGATGTAGATATCAACTTGTTTCGCACGACTCGACTGGCAGAATAAATATTGTTATCGCTGCCGTAGAATGTGATCGACTGTCACGATGTGTCGCCGCGGCGGATTTCTCGAAGTGACGATCGCGCCGTTCGAAAATTGAACCGCTCAAATTTGCTCGTGAAACATGCGACTAATATCGAAGGCAAAACTCAACTAGCCAGCGATGGAAATTTAAATTAAGTCTAATTAATACGGATCCCACACGGGTTAGCCGTTTCGAAAAAGACTGTCGGACTCTTCTGTAAAGAACAATGGCAATTCGAGTCACCCTTGAATGTGGGCATGCGTCGATGTTACGTGTTCGCACTACTCCAGAGGGTTACACTCATGACTGGGAAGTATTTGTCCGTGGAGTGGACAATGCCGATATACACCAGTACATCGAGAAAGGTATATAGAGTGTCATTGCATTTGATCTATTTCACGTTACATTGAAAACGCTTTAAGAAAAGATGTTTCGATGTGAAGTCTATAGTGGTAATTTGTTTGCTTTTCCTTCAGTCGTGTTTTATCTACATGAAACCTTCCCGAAACCAAAGAGGATCCTGAAGGAACCGCCGTACGTCGTCAAGGAGTCAGGCTACGCGGGATTTCTGATTCCCATTTATGTTTACTTGAGGAACAAGGACGAACCAAAGATATTTCAAATTTCCTATGATCTGGAGCTGCAACAGAGCGGTCCTGCTATCAATAATGTTATCCGACACAGCGAGGTATTCCTTAATCCTTCAGAGGACTTCAAAAGAAAATTGTTGAAAGGTGGTGCTGTAAGTATCAGTTGTGTATATTAAAGTTAACATTGCTTTCGAAATGTTTCTGCTCTTTACACTGTACGCTGCTAATATTTCTTTTTAGGTTATAGTTCCAAATACGGAAGGAACATCGGAGAAAGGCGAGACAAAGACTACTCCTCCAATGGTAGGTAAACCAAAGTTAAGTGGCTCCGACGGCAAGAAACATCGACCGCCAGAGCCGAAGGCTACAAATTCATTTGCAGACCTGTTCGGTACTCCTATAAAAACGGCAAAAATCTCACCGGATAATAAGAAAACTCAGCCTCCAGAGAAGACTCCAAATCCTAAACTAGTACCTGCAGTGGAAAAAGTAGAAAAAGTAGAAAAGACAGCTAAAGGAAAGCACAGTCCTCACAAAGATGGAAGGAAAGAGAAGGGACCAGAAGAGAAGAAAGAGAAGAAGGATAAAGAGCATGGAAAAGAAAAAGATCGGAGCAAAGAAAGATCAAAAAGACCTTCGAGTCCAGGGAGTAAAAACAACCATATGAGCCCTAAGAGTAAAAGAATGTCATCGCCTATTCCAGTGAAAAAGCCACCGAGTCCTGTGATGCCATCGGCAATGAGAAAACCTTCCCCAAAACCCAAAGATAAAGAGCCGAAGAAGATTCCACAGGAGAAAGAAAAGGAAAAAGAGAAGGAGAAGGAAAAGGAGAAGGAGAAAGAAAAAGAAAAGGAGAAGGAAAAGGTGAAGGACAATGTAAAACCTTCAACGGACATGTCTAAAAGTGAACGAAAGAAAGACAAAAAGAAGCATAAGGAGGATCGCGACAAAGAGAGGAAAGAGAAGCACAAGGAAAAGGAACGAGAAAAATCGAAGGAAGCTCCAAAAGTCACAGAGAAAAAGGCAGAGAAGGTAGATAAGCCCGATAAGGTGGAGAAGGAAAAGAATCACGATGTTAAAAGTCTGAAGGAGGATCGAAAGTTCTCGAAGCCAGTAAAGGAGGTGGAAAAAGCAAAGGAGGAGAAACCAGTGAAAATAGATAAAGGAGACAAGAGTGAGAAACCAGAAAAAGCGAAAGACGAGATCAAGAATGACAAGGAACGACAAAAACATAAACACAAAAAGAAGGATAAACGCGAGAAGAGGGATAGCAGCAAGGAGAGAGAAAAGAAGGAGAGGCGAGAGAAAGTAAAGCTTACAAATGAGAAGCAGAACAATTTCCCTACAACTCAATCGACAGTGAATCCTTTGTCGACGTTGTTGGCTGACATGCCTGATAGAGACAGCAGTGATTCTACGCCATCGGTGGACGAAGACTCTTTCGAAGCAAAGTCTGTACCTAACTTTATTAAAAAAGAACCGGACACGTTGCCCCAGTCCACCGAACCGCCGAGACCACTGTCGCCTCTTCCACCTGTGGAGGTGAAAAAGGAGAAAACAGAAAAGGTCAAGAAGGAGAAGACAAAAACCAGCAAGACAGAGGAGAAGGAAGGCAGAAAAAGGAAAAGGAGGAACGAGACTAAAAGCGAAGACGAGCCTGTGTTGAAGAAAGAAAAAGAAAGGGGTCATTCCTCCTCGCCTCTTTTGGAACCAGTTTCTTCGAGCCAGTCGCCTGTTGCCGTGGACATCGAGCCGGTGCACCCTCTGAAAGATAAGGAAGATCGAGGACCTGTGGGACAGCCATTGGGGAAGACTATCGAGGCCGAAGTCGAGCAAGTGGCTCCTGATTCAACAAACAGTACTTTGGTCGAGCCAGACGTTGAGGAACCTCCGGTCTTCTCTGAAGACTACGTTTCCCAATTGAAGGATTTACAACAGAAAATCATGACTCTTCAGGATAATCAGGAACTGCAAAGAGTTGTGCAAGTGATCGCAGAGACTGGCCAGTACGAAATCACAAAGAAGACATTTGACTTTGATCTGTGTGCTCTAGACCGTCGCACTGTGCAACGTTTACAACAGTTCTTTGCGTCGTGACCGTCTGTCCCGTAGTGCATATCAGCTCTCAATTCTTTGCCCAGATGTAGGAAGACACTTCTCTCATCCGTGGTTCCGTGCATTTACATGAGATGTACAGTTTGCAAAATTGTGAATTGCAAGTTTAACAAGAAAGGCTCTATGGTTTCTTTTTTTTACTATCATTTGAGATCGAATTAAGCCAATGGCCTATGCAGTTCGATGATTTGACTATATTATAACGACACCATGTTATCATGAATCTATTGTGAAGTTTCATAGAACGATCCAATTTATGTGTGGAATTATTTCTACGAATATTTAGTGCTCACCGCACAGTGATTTTGTAATCTCAAGCGGCACAAATAATTGTATTTTTTTTTTACAAATTGAGTGAATGAATCATTTGTTTGCTTCAAAGTAGTTCGAGGAGCACCTTATGTACTTTGTGCTATTCCCAACTGTAATGTCAGCTAGGATTAATGCCAGTGTTATCACCGTGTGAATATGTATAAAATATCGGACATGATGTATCACGGAGTATCGGATCGTGCAGAGTGTCGTGTTAGTGTTAATATTTTACAGATCTTGCTTGTCAAGCGTATCGATTGTAAAACATTAGTAAGGGTGCTACATCCCAAACTGATCAAAGATTCACTAAACCTGTAAACTAGTAGTCGCAAGAGACGATAGGAGTATTTATAACATTTTCTATTACACGTATTTTAACGTTACAAGATGAAAATATAAACGTGTTAGGATAACTTTTCTCGGCAGGTAGACTTGTTCCCTTCGGAGAGTGTTCTCGAAAAATGCTTTTTTTGTCTCAACTTCTCTGACAAGGAATTAAATCGGTTACGATCAAGTGTATAAAGAAGTTGGACACGATTGCACTGACATTTAATTAATTTAATGTTCAATCAAAAACAATCAACGTTCAATCTTCTGTGTCCTCTTCTAATCTCTAGTTAAATTGACTTAAATGTTTGTGCAGTCGATACGGAGTGAGTGCGTCCACATTTAAATAATATTTAGACGTTTATTTATACATGTATATGTTCATATCTGAAGTGATAAACATAGCTAGATTGGTCATTCACTGGCTCCATAAGCACAGTATAATTCTAGTTGTATGTATACATATATATATATATATTCTATATATATATACATATATATTTCTTCTGTTCGATAAGAAAGCTTCAAGGAGCATCAGTGCGAGAAATCTGTAAATCTTAAAAAATCGTGTATCAGTGTGTCGTAACGTGTGAGTCGTCAAGTGTCTCTTCGTATCGGACTAAGCAATTTATATCCGAGTAATTCTAAACTTTTAAGAAGCGTGTTTGTAAACTCTATTTATAATTCGGGATGCCTCGATGAAATCGGTGCGCATGAGCCTAAGATGAAATCTATAATCATGTCGGACGTTTCGTGAAGGATGATCTTTCTTCTTTGAATTCGAACACGCGATAGACATTTTTGGCTTTAATCATACCGATAGGCATCTTTCTTTCTACTTTTTGTTGAACCGATTGACGCAATAACTTTTTAGATACCGAAAGTAGAATCGATGGACACTTAATTACGATGTAAAATATTTACATTCTCGCCATTGGGCCATTAGAACTTGCCACAATAGCATTGTTTGTATCTGCAGCTTGTTTCGAGGTTTTTAATCGTTTTTCCTATAAAAGTCGCATTCACTTTCGTTCGCGATGCATTAAAAGAGAAGGCAAATAATCCCTCCTTAATTTAATTTCATCTCTCAAAGAGTGAGTACTTATCGCTTAAACGCAAACCACGCAAATAATTACGCATTTTCCATATAGCTTGTTAAATGCAAAGAAGAAATTAGTGCTCGACAAAGTGCGCTTGATCTAATCGCAATAGTAATTGTTTATCGTCCTAGAATTAGGAAAATCACTCGAAAATTAATTGATCGACGATACACATCAGCGCGATTCCCATAAATATTTCTCGACGTGGTCAATTATTGCCAAAGGAGCAGCCCGATTTTCGGAAAAATCATCGAACCTTATTTTTTTTTGTTTTTCTCAACAAATCCTACAAATATATATACCCAAGTTAATTAAGCTTTGTGTGCATATGTATATACATATTAATATAACATCCTAGTTGGATCTCGCGTGAATTGTTTGAAATTTTTTCTCTTTCTCTCTCTCCACTTTTCTTCGAGTCAAGAGGTTTTGATCTAGAATTCGAGGAACACGTCCCGCGGGATGCTAAAGCGGAGTCTCTATTTTGAGAAAATCGTCGATAGGCTGCACAGCTGCATTTATTTATAACTCGTAAACTGTCGGCGGAATCGAAGCCGAGCTCTCGTATCGTGAGAAGCGACTCCTTACTTCGGGTCGCGGTCGAATGAATTTTGATCTCCCGTTAAGAGAAAATGAAAAAAAAAAAAAAGAAAATAGAAATGGAGGGAAAGCAGAACGAAGGAAAACTACATAGTGCAAACTACCGCGTTATTTATGCAAGACTCGTGCACCGACATTGCGACCGCGGTTAATCTTGATATCCTCGTTAATCAGCACGGCATTAATCGAGTGCACCGATTATTGCACATGCATACGTATGTACACGTATTTACACGTATGTACACGGCAATGTACTCTGCAAAACCGCGTCGCGAGTCTCGTGCGCATCGTTTAATTCGGATGGAGGATTATTTATAATTAAGCGCACTGCCACACGGTAGATAGATATATCGCGTGTACATAAGACATATATAGCGTAGCTACGTGGCAGATAGTCGGTAGATAAGTATCTAGATACGAGTATATAAGGTACACATAGTAATCGCTAGGAGATAAGTATCTGGTACGACGTGTAGATACTTTTCTAATTCCAGGTACAAATTGAAATTGCAGTATCCGTATCTAGATATTTTTTAGCGTATCTTGTTATTACATATACTGAGACATAAGGTCATTTCGAGGCATGTATAATAAAGATTTAATAATGCAAAGAAGGACTTGTATGTGCGTATGATTTTTTTTTTTCATTCCCAGACACGGCATCGACTGGTGGTTATCACTTGTTTGTTAGAAAGTTAATTTCTAGAGTTTTACGGGTAATGATGAGTCGACGAGGAAGAAAAATTGATAAATAGATAGTAGCGCTGGTTGTGACGATTCGGGGTAATAACGATCGCGGGTGGAATTATCTTTTATTCGCGCCCTCCTTGGTAGACAATGATAAGAGCTTGATTACAGAATTTAACATTTATTTATGTCGTATAAACGTATCTGCGAATGGAGGGGGAGGCTTACCTCGTTCTTTGGTCGCGAAGATGGACGAGTGACTAGATGAACACCTCATTTCCTTCTCTTTTCTCTCGTGTTAATATTGCACTGAGCTCGGTTGCGAAACATTTGGCCGCTGCGTTACACTTATCCATACAAGTGTGTACATCAAATCCATACAAGTACGCGAAAGGTCAAGGACGTTCCCGTTGGACGACAGAGCTCGACTGACAGTCCGGCAAGGAGACGTCAATGCCTCATCTCTCTATTCTTTGACAAATTCGAAGGACATTTCGCCTAAGCGGATAACTTTAAGCAGTGATAACAGATCGGGAGGGGAACGATCGAATTAATATCCTGCCAGCTCGGCAAACGTGGAGTCCATCTCGTCGGCAAGGGACTTGTATCTGTCTTTGTTGATTCCGAGCTCGTCTGAAAAGGGAAGAGATTAAACGGATTGAAATTTGGAAAAATCCCTTCCCGTCGCGGAAATATATTTTCAGTCAGGCCTCAACAAACCTTCGAGCCTGTCAACCTCCTTTTGCAGTTTCTTCACGGTCTTCTCGGCGAACTCGGCCCTGGCCTCGGCTTCCTTCAGTTTGACGGTCAAGGTCTTCAGCTGACGTTTGAACTCCTCGACACGTTGGTTGGCCTGTTACAGATAACACTTATCAGCCTAACGAAGTCGCTTGCTTCTGACAAATGGTGGCAAGGTTGACGTTACCTTTTCCTCGGAGACCTCCAGGGACTTCAAACTGTTGCCGACGACCTTCAACTCCTCTTCCAGTTCCATGATTTTGCTGGAAAAAAAATTAATGGGAAAGGATGAATCGTGGCGGTCGAGAATTAATCCAGGATCTTCTGGGATCTCCTAAGAAAGGGGTGGATAACATTCTTTTGCTGTACGAAAATTGATACTCACGCCTCGCCAGACTTGACGCGATCTTCGGCTACCTCCAACTCGTCTTCAACAAAGGCCAGCTTGCGGGAGACTTCGTCGGATTTTCCGTCAGCGTCCTCGGCAAGGAGACGAGCCTCTTTCAGCTGGTTCGTCAATTGGTCCATCCTCTCCTCGTCCTGCTGGGCGCGGTTTTCCAACACTTTGCACATTCTGTAAATCCACCGTTACATTGAGAAATAATCAGGCGTTATCAGGGTCCAAATGAAACGGAACGCAATTTCACCGGCTAGATTCGTCGGCAGCCTGGGAAGCTTCGGTAAGTTTCGCGGATGCGGTGTTCAGACGTTCCTCGGAGCGCTCCAAGTCCTCTTCGATCAGCTGGACCTTCCTGTTCAAGGCGGCGACCTCGGACTCGGCCTGGAAAAAATCAATTTTATCATTCAAATTATGAAATTCCCCATAAAATCTTAAAAATCATAGACATAACCCGAGTAAAACTATATATCCTATTCAGGACTTCTAACTGCAGGCCTTAAATAGGCCTTATTTATAATACAAAGGGTAATTCCAACACAATGCTTGCAATTAAATTACATACAAGGTAGGAAGTAGAATATAAAGAGCACCAAAGGACTAAAAGATGTCAGGCAACGCAGGTTCAAAGTAAAGAGACATATTTCGACACGGAAAGTTCCATAAAAGTACACGGAATTGTTAAATTAAATTAAATAGGTAAAACGTGGCTGTTACACAAGGTCGAGTTGACCAAGGTCTTGGTCCAAGGTGGCGCGAAATGTACTTGGCGCGAGACTCAGCCGAGTCCTTTAAAGCTGAGGGGTGTCAAAAGGTTGAACCTACGTTGGTGAGGGATTTTTCGCGCTCTTCAAGGTCCTTGTTGGCCTGCTCGAGAGCTCCCTTGTTGGCCTGGAGGTCTCCCTCGACCTGGGTGAGCTTCTTCTGGAGGTCGCTGACCTCCTCAAGGACCTTATCGGCGCGCAGGTTTGCTTCTTTGGCCTGTCCTTCGCAGACATCAGCTTTATCCTGCGCGTTGTCCTTCTCAAGCTTCATCGCTTGCATTTTCTTCTTGATCGCGTCCATGGTGGCGGCCTTTTCCTTCTACCTTTCCTAGGGTAACCGACGAGTGCTCTGAAAAACATGTCTGTATTAACGCATGTCTCCATCTTCCCGGAAATACTCCCTGGCGTCTGTTTTTGCAGAATTTCCGAACGGACAATCTGCGAATTTCCATGCAGGGCCAAAGCGCAAGTCGTGGTGTATCCAACAATTTCTGGTATAAATGAAAACTGAGAGCTTCTGAAAACCATATCGCATAAATGGTGCTCGAAAACCTAGAAATATCGGGCCCGGAATTCCTATGAGGAGAATCAAGATGGCCGCCGCGGGAAGATGCAGCGAAAGAACGGTAGGTTCTGGCGGGATCTTTTTTTGGCTCTCGCCGATCGTTTTCGGCGGACTCGGGGTGTTCGCGGCGGTCCCTCTTAGTCGGCGTCCATGGAAATAGCATGGACGCCAGCGGGACTCTATAAATACGTTTCCGAGCTCGGTCGCCGAATAAACCGCGAGCGAGAAAACGGGAGGGCCGAGACTCTCTGACTCGCGAGATCGGGCTTTACTTAGACGTCAACGCCGACCGACATCCGATCTAACTGCTCTCGTTATTAATAGAACTGCGTTTTTCCGCCTACCGAAAACCGCGCGGCCCCAAATTTTCGATTTCCCTGGCGAACTCGAAGCGGCGCGAATTTTCGAATTTTCGAACTTTCGCACTTTCGCACTTCGTACCGCGCCCCGCGAGAACCGACGCGGTCGCCGCCATCTTTAATTCGTTCGATATGTCTTTCGCCATATACTTCCGCAATACAGATACTCAAATTGGCCTTCAACATGCCGCTTTAAAAGTGAAATACTCGTGAAAAGCTACGTTAAATTGGCTGGAATTTGGAGAAACAAAATATTCAGCATAGCAAAATTCTGGCTTCAGGTCAGAAAGCGAAATGGCATCTTAAACGCAAGGCATTAGGGTAGAAGGTAATCTCTCTTTTCAGTTTTGCATTTTTATCTAGGGGAGGGAAAAAATAAACACACCCATGCGCCGAGCATGCGACGCGCCTCGCCTTCATACATAAGTATCTCGGCTACCGCAGTCGCTCGCTGCGATTTCAACGGATTACTTACGACATGGCGAGATTTGTTACAAGCCCAAAATAAGCTCCGAAGCGTAAGCAGCGGTGTTAGAATTTGCGTGGGTCGGATCTCTCCTCCATAGACGGCGCTAACCTCGCTTCTGCAAGAACAATCATTCCAAAACTTGGTATCCGGTTGCAAAACGTCCGAAAAACCGTTAGAACTCTCTAAATCTAATACAAGCAAGATCCATATTGATTTTAAATCCTCCCGTGCAAGACTTCTTAGGTGTTCCTGTCAAAATCTCTTGTCCGATGGAGAACTCGCCCTAAGTGAATATCCGAAAACCCGGGAATTTCAAAATTCTGCACTTAATGGTTCTTCCCGAAGAACGAGAGATCGTGTCTCTCTCTCCAGCTGCCGAAATCGGTCTTTTTTTAGGGCAAGGTCTCCCCGCGCTATTTTCACGGACGGGTAGGCGGGAAGGTGGCGAAGAGGTCATAAACACTTGCGGGAAATCTCGCGCTGTAAAAATCTAGTAAATGTGGAAATAGCAAGATATCACTGGGGAGAATTTTGTAAAAAAGAGGCGTGGAAATCAAATAATAAATATATAATATAATATATACAAAATAAGAAATATCATGGAGAAAGTCGGCGCAACGGATTGTGGGAAATATCGCGCGGAGTTGTGGGAAATATCACGCGGCGAAGCTTGTAATTAATTCTGCCAGGATCAGCGAGATGCAGGCCAAAGGAAGACCCTCGGTATCAAAAAATTCAACGTCTCTCGGTGGACTTACCTATTCTCGGCGAGCGGAGAGTCGCGAGTGGAGTGAAGTCCCTCGGAGCGTCGGCCCTCGGCGGAGCTTCCGAACTCGCGGGTGGGGAACCCAAAAATGGCAAGGCGCCAATCGACGAAGCGCTCCGAAGCGCTTGCACCAACACCGAGAAGTCAAAGCTTTAAGGAGCCGACGAGATCACGAAAGCACGAAATGGAGCTCGAGCCGAGAGGGGGGTTCGATTTCATTTCGGCGAAATCCCGCGGTTCGACCTCCTCCCTGCAAATCGGCTTCCATATTGCGCCTCATCGGGAAGCAATCGAGTCCGCCATCTTGGATTTCCTTAAAAAATCCGACCGGGCGAAACGGTGTCTCGTGTAACAATTTGGAACGCGTAACAGGAAAGAGTCGGAAAAATGGGACCAGGTAAAGTGGGGCAAGCGTCTCCGGTCTAATTTTATCGCCCATTGACGCCTCCCTCGTGTTCCTACTGGGAAATTATTTCATTTGTTTACGGTGACGCGCGCGAGGCGACGCCGGGAATTCAAGATGGCCGCCGCTTCGCTCGAATCAATTTTTAATGTCGTCTCTTGTATCCGAGGTAACAAAATACATGGAAATGAACGCGTACAATGGTACACAGTGAATCTTGTTACAATGATGGATCCGTTATATGGACGATTGCCGAGTGATTTGCTCGTTGACAGAATCTTCGGAAGTGGAATGTGGACGTTACACGCTTCTAAGGAATGCTCCCTCGTTACCCCTTCCATGATCTCTTTAAAAAAACCTACGCTACGCTAGTAGATATTTACGAAATTCGCTAAGCTGAAAAAAGCTGCCTCATATCTAGTGACGTATTGACGTTTAAAGTTATTGCCAATGTCCCCAGTAAATCTTTACCTGAATCTTTAATTTTATTGCGCTTATTTATAATTACCGCTCCCCTGGAACACGTGGACTCTCCTTTGAGCGGGGGACAACGATACTTTGCATATCGAGTGTAATGATTAAGGCGTTGCTAAGGAAAGACATTTCATATACAATCACAATTACATAATGCTCTGTGTATTAAATTCAAATCGCCATCGAAAGCTTTCGGCAAGCCTAACTGACGAATTTTCGCGCAATAAACACTCGAGGTCGGGAAATAAAAAGTAAAAAACCGGAAGCATGGAAGCTTGAAAGCCCAAGGATAGCAACGGCGACAGTAAGAATAGAATTTAACAACCCGATTAAGTGGGTCCCCAAATTTTCGATGACTTCCCAACGTGAATCACGTATCTAAGAATGTCACTTAACGATCCTTCCAAATAATTCCCTTAAGAGAATTTCAACAATGCTTGAGAGAAGTCCTTTGTACGTTTCGAGATAGTAAAAAACTGCTTAGATCGAGCCGATTAACCTTATTTACAGGACTAATAGAGACGAGGGAAAGATTCCAACGAGATTTCGGGAAAAATCCGAATACTTAGCGTTTTACCGTCCGCGGGACGCGACTCGAAACTGGCTTATCGTTAGTCATAAAATTCATTATCGGAACTCGAGAAATCCTGTCGAAAATGTTAACTCAAAAAGAGACTATCAACTGCCCCCGAAGAACCCAAAATGCCGAAATTTCTTATTCCTACTTATACAGGACGATTCGGGAAGTATCATTGCACATTGGCAGTCGTATGGATTTTTTAAAAATAACATCGTGATTGTAATTTTCTCGAAATTTAGGCGTGACCTTTCGTTTCCCTCGGATCACTCTGTATACGGTTCTTCGGGGTAGGAAGTATCTTTCTTTTTTGCTCTTTTTACAGGATTTTTATATATTAACGAGTCCCCTCTTCTGGCCAACTTCGAGCACCGGTTTCTCGGTATATCGGGGTCGGTGCTTCCGGGATTCGATGATTCTCATTCTCACGAAATGACAGGCGACGTCGAAAAGTAATGGCAGCACGACGTGTCAATCCGAGCGTGATTTACGCTCCTCGGCTTGCGTTAATATCCGGCGAGGTCGGCGAACGTTTGATCCATCTCGTCGGCGATCGCTTTGTACTTACTGCGCTCGTTGATCAGCTCGTCTGCAACGAGAAAGTCAGGATGGAATGATTAGTAGATGGCACAGGGTAGATTACGTGTTATTGGGACAATAGTCGAATTATTAAGGGACACCTGACCCCACTCGCGGTTCGTTCATTCAAGGAATCGAGGAAAGAAATAGGAATCCCACCGAAAAGACCAAATGGCCGCAGGCGTCCAGTGTTCCACATGCTTATTTATAATAATCTCGCTTTAATTACAATGATACAGGTATATTTAATCCGTAGGTTGGGCCCGAACGTGATTGTGCGGTCCGCGTTATCGCTCGGCGAGGCGAATCCCGTGATTATCATATCCGGCGACGATGGAAAGACATTCTTTAGCCGACCAGCTCGGTGAAGGTGAGGTCCAGGTCGTCGCAGATGTACTTGTACTTCTCCTTCTCGTGGACCAGCTCGTCTGGAATTAAATCGAAATCTCGTGACAAAGCGCCGCCACCTCGCAATAAAGCCCGTACGAGCCATAAGCGTATTCGATATCCCTTATAAATCGTACAGTAAGTACAGATCCGGCTAAGATCATCTCTAATTTCATCTGATATCCAAAAGCGATATGAAGAATCGGTAACAATTTTTTCTTTTTTTTTTCTTCGCCCTAGATTTACCAAATTGTTCCAAATTCTACCACGTGGAGGCCCCTCTGCTCATGACTTTGTTTTAAATTCTATATCTCTCAATTTTTCTTTTTCTTAAAACGCCACTTTCATATCGCCTTAAGGCGCCGAAGAGGTCTCATTTATTGAATTTTTCTCCGAACTAGGTATACCAAATCGTTTCAAATTTCACCCTATAAATACGGAGACCTTAAGAAAGGTCCTGACACCTATGAAATTTCAATTTCTAAAAAAATCTTTAAACAAATTTTTGTTATAAAAGAAGAAATTTCATGGGTGTCGGGACCTTCCTTAGGATCTCCACGTTTGCGAGGTAAAGTGTAAAGCGATTCGGTAGATCGAGTTCGTTAAAAAGTTTCATTGAGTCCTCTGATGAGATTTTCACACCGCCTTAACGGATGTTCGACAAAATTTTAACGCGAAGAGCAGGTCTTGAATGAGCTCATCGTAGCCGGATCTTGAAGCGACCAGATGACAATTGCAGGAAAGTTCGGGTCGAGGAACCATGAAATAAGTCGGAGATATCCCCACGTGCAAGTCGTGTGCGAGTTCTTGTACGACTCGGATCCTTCTTTTCGTATCCTTCGTCGTAGATTGGTCGATTTTTTGGTCGATGTTGGGCCTAGGGCGAAATGGACGACCCGGCGATTCGCAGGGGGTTAAAAGCGAGGGTGTGATAACTTACGGAAGTTGGTTAGAGAGAGCAAGCTAAACGCAATAAAGGCACGTCGAAGCGTTATCAGGAGCTAGGCACTCTAGACCCCATAGAGCTCAAAGAATGCATTATCCAAGCCATCGCCGATTTCCTTGTACTTCTCCTTCTCGGCCACCATCTCATCTGCAAGGATTTTTCGAGATTACCGCATTACATCGAAGCGGGGATTCCCCAAGAGTACAAAAGACTTATTGATAATTACGCGCTCGCAATTTTATTCGCAGAAAAAAAAAAAAGAAAAAAAAAGAAAGAATGCGTACCAAAGAAATTGAAGAAGAAAATTACAAAACTAATGCGAACAGTCAAAATAAACAAACGGAAGGAAAATAAATGGGATTTTTACATAATTTAAAAGGAAAATTAATTTCTGCAAAAGTGGTACGTCTAAATTACTGGTACGAAGACTAAAAATACAGGAGAAATGAAATGAGGACAATCGACACCGTAGAGGCATGGGGGAGAAATTTAGAAAATTAACATAAAAATCTCCAGGGGAAAGGGGACCCGAAAACCCCGATAGTCTGGGGTTTTTGATAGTTAGTAGACAATAATCGAGCAATGTTGTACTTACTGGCGGCTGGGTAATTTCACACATTTCGGCGGAGCTTCATGCAGTTAACCACGACTCTCGTCGACAACAATCGGGCAGAGCGTGTTGTTAATGGGCTCTCGTGGTAAAAACGATTAACAGGAAACAACTCTCCGGGCGCACAAAAAGTGACTCTCTCGACTCGGTCGAAAACGAGACGAACGGAAAAAAAAAATGGACGACGCACGCATAATCGCATTGAAAATTAAAATATATATTATAAACAAATTTATAATAATAGCAATGTTGGTGTATAATTAATACAATAATATTAGTGTTATTATCGTTTCTCTCTCGATTAATATTAAGTAAATTAATGGGCTAAGGTGATAAATCAAAATTTCCGTCTCGAACGTCTTTTGCTTATCGTGGGTTTTCTTTTTTTATCCTTTCTTTCATATCTCTTTCCGGCGTAAAAATTAGGGCGTAACGTGTAGAGAACTGAGGATAGGAGATAATCGAAACGATACAACGGATAATTGGAGCGATAATAGTAATATTAATTAAAATTAATAGGACGTGGGATTGCATTGTGCCGATGAGCCCATGTCGGGATATTCTTTTTTTTTTCTTTTTTTTTCTCTTTCCTTGGGCTTAATTCCATTAAACACCGAGCGCGACTTTCTTCCTAAGCGCGGATCATCGCTCGACGCGACGCGCGAATTTTCGCCTCATCACGGCGGAAAAAAAAAATCCCTCCTCGAAAATTATCTACCTTTCCACTCCCCCCTGGAAAAATCGCCACAAGGGAGCCGCCACGCCTAACGATCGACGCACTCTCATGCACCTGTGATCCCTCCTTTCCTTCATGCCCAGGAAAAAAGGGGGAAGAAAAAAAAAAGAAAGTACACTTTTCAACATTCCGCCCGAAGATTGACGCGTCGCGGATTCGCGAACTCTGCGGCGCGTCAAACCCCGGCCAGGACATTTATTGCGAAAAAAACCGAAAAGACCAGGAAAAAAAAACCAAAATGGAAAAACAAAGAAAAGAAGGAAATTAATCGTGAAAGGCCAGTTTACGCGACGCGAGAAAAAGAGAGAGGGGGGGATTAATAAAAGAAAAGGTAAAAAAAGGGAAAAAAAAAAGAAAGAAGAGATTGGAATTTCGGGGCAGTGGTTGCTCTCGTTAAGGAAATGCAACGTTTCGGAGAGGGAGGGGGATTATGAATTTTGTGCAGCCAGCGATGTGCGCAGGGAATGTATATATATATATATAAACCGTATACTCCTAATTAGGCATATGTGTACACGCGTATGTATGCAATGTATGTATTCTAGATCGCATGAGATATTCCGCGAAGTTAACCGATCTGAGCACGTTCTCCTCGAATCGAGGTACGATTAGCCATGATAATTATCCGTATGGGGTACCTAATATATGTATATACAGGCACAGTCGGTGTGTGTTCGTGATTATCGCGTGTCTGAAAAGCGCGCAGCTCAACTGGGATGAGAAAATGAGGAATTTGCGAGAGCGACCCCCCTCCCCTTGATAACGTGGATAACGAGGGATAATCGCGATAACCCCGCGCGATAACGCCCCTCCTGCTGAGGGGGGTCCCCCCTCTCCTCTCGTGATAAGAACGATACGAAAGAGTGCCGATCGAGCCTTCCCACCTTTCCAATTTGCTAGCCCCTGTATAATTAAGGAATAGAGAAGGAATGTATGCGATCCAAGGTCTATATCACACGCGTCTAATGACGAATTTTCCACGACCCGCGATATCGTGATAAGAGAATACCTTTACCGTGCACTGTACCTATAAACGTGCGTCCAGAAGACCTGCAACCTCTCCGCGCAAGATGGCGGCGGCGCGCCAAATAACGCGACCCAATATCGGTGGATGGTGTTCTGAATTAATGCCCGATAACTCGCAAAAAGTCGCATTCGAGATAACCGTTTCGTCGCGATACACGGCAAGGTGAATATTCCGAGGGACGGCGGCATTGATGTCCGAATGCGTTTCCGCGAATCTCTTAAATTGTACGCGATGCGACGACGTCCAGAAACCGCCGCCATGTTGGGTGGCGAGGTCGCAGGTCTGCACGCGCCTCGATATATCGGAAGCTCGATCCTCACCGAACGCAAACTCCGGGGGGTAAAATGAAAATCCATCGCGAAAACGCGGAGATTAAAATTGATTCTCGTGCGTACGCGGTGGCACCGTACGAAAGGGATAAATGCACTTCCACGGCGCGGCTCGAGGGACCGCGGAACGCGTGAAACTCGCGGAGTACACCGGAAGATCGGGCGGCAGGTGGACACCTCCCGCGTGCGCGCGCATCCTCTAGGATGAATCCACGAGCATAGATCGGCGAGACCGACGAGAAAGAGTACAACATCCGCGGCGTCTCGTCCGGATCGGGGCCGCCGAGGTATGCAGAACGTGTCGGCGGAACGTTAACAGCAACAGCAGCAGCAACGGCAGCAGCGGCGCTCCACGCACGCGCGTTCCGAGAATTTCGACGCCGCGCGTCCTTCTCCTCGTACTTCGCGCCCTCGCCAACCCGACCTCGGCCATTTCCGGGGGTCGAGCTGGCGTCGGGACGAAGGTTCACGTCTCTCCTTCCTCCCCAGGACTTCGATTCGTAATTTCGTTCGCTCGTTTCCGCGCAATCGGCCGATGAATCGGCGATGTGGCGGCCTCGGCTCGGAGGCTGCGTCCGTCCATTAGGGTTAGGTCTGCACCGTGCGAGAGTATGAGAGAGAGAGAGAAAGAGAGACAGAGGCGGATAGATGGAGTGGAGGGAAGAAAATGAGAGAGAGAAAGAGAGAGAGTGAGACGGGGCGAGCGAGAGAGGGCGCGCGCGCAGCCGAAAGTGGGGTTATGTGTGTAATCCGCTCCGCAGCACGCTCTACATGTTCTGGATGTCATGCAGAGTAGCCTCCATCTCCTCCTGGAGCATTTTGTTTTTCTCTCTCTCGCTGACGAGGTCGTCTGCAAAGATCACTCGTTATTGTAAAACCACGCGACGTGCGCACACCCACACGTAAGCACACTCACACGCAGACACACACGCATAGGCGAGAGAGCGCGTTAACGGTGTCGCATGACACGAGCAAAATTAAACAAAAGTGAATAAAAATTAAAAGGCCTGGACTAGGAACAACAAAAAAAAAAAAGGAGAAAAATAAAAAGAAGATTACGGAGGAGTGGAACGAAGGCGCACACGGGGTGGCCGTTACACTCAGGGCAAAAACGACGAGATCCGCGCTCTTGGCCTTCGTTTTTCGAGAGTATGGCGGGCAGTTGTCGTTAAACGTTTCAAGTTACAATGGACAGAAGAAAAAGAGGTCCGAGGTCCCGAGACCTCGTTACCTCTCCGCCGTCTCGTCGCGATAAGTCTTCAGTAAACGAATACGTACCCTCGAGTCTGTCCACTTCCTTCTGTAACTTTTGCACCGACCTCTCGGCAAACTCGGCGCGCGCTTCAGCCTGTAAAATTGTAGAGAAAAATCGATCAATCCATGAATCAATCCCCAGAGTTAATTGCCATTGATCTCGGAACTAGGAATCCCCTGCGAGAACCATGTCTCGTTCGTCAAAATGAAAGCTAATTGTTGCGTTGAAATCGCTTGCATCTATGCAAGTACTCTCTAATGAGTTCTGAGATCAACGGCTTGTCCGACCAACCGGCAAGGCAATTAATATTCAACGGCAAGGCTAAAATGCACACTCATGCTACGTAATTATTACTCTGCCCATACTCCGCGTATTTTCTAAATTACAGAGACATCAATTACTAGTTAGTAGGCATAACTGTGACATTAAACACGTTTAACCACTCTGCTGGGTCGTACCTTAACGTTCGCACCCTGTCCCTCGAAGGATTTAAATGCCCCTCCGTGAGTTATACCTTATCTCTCTATTAAATCACTATGTACGGATAATTGCAAGGAAATAAAAATATATATATATANTATATATATATGAACGTTGAAGTTAGAAATTAAAATTCGCGAAGGCCGTGGCAAGCCGTAATCGCTCTTCCAGTCATTGACAAAAAGGAACGTAATCTTAATTTACATAAAAAAGAAAATAGTAAGTCGTCACCTATGCCATAATTCCGTGCAAAGCTGGAAGCAGCTTGTATCACGGGACAGTTAATTTAATCGCGGAGAGACAAAAGGAAAAACAGGAAATTGTCCTCGTGACAATCTGCATCGTCTTACCTCCTTCAATTGGCACTCCAGGATCTTCACCTGGCCCTTGAACGTCTCCTCCCTTTCTATCGCCTGGTGCGTGTGCGTGTGTTAGCAAAATTCAAACACAAGGAAAGAAAAACAAACAGCCGTTAGTGTACAAACGCTACATGCTGATATACAGGCAATTCGAGCCATTGCGAGGAAAAAAAAAAGGAAAATAAAGAAATGTCCTCATCCTCGCCAAGTATCCTCGAAAGGACGTTTTCTCTATCCTTTTTTTTTTTTCATTTTTTACACATGCCATCGAGGATGCTTGCGAGTACACCAAAGTATGTATGGGCAGGCCGGTTTAGGGTTTCCTTTTTCTATCGAGTTTAGTACGTCTAACCAACAAGCAAAGCTGATAAAAAAAGACAACAAAAAAAATAGAAACAGTACAGGCCACTCAGTATCAGACACTCTGACGAGATGTGTACCTCCTTTAGACGAGTAGTGAGGGTCTTAATTTGGTTCTTGTACTCCTCCTCACGTTGGTTGGCCTAAGTACATCACGCGAATGTCATTAAAGTTAAACTCACAGCCATCCGACGATTTATCCCGGAAATTAAATCTCTATCTCCCGTCTATCCGTAATTTCTTTTTTTTTTACTTTTTAAAGCGATTAACCTTTTCATCCGCGAGGACAAAATTCAATCTCCTTTCCTTTGTTACGCCGTTGCTTTCGATTTTCGCCGCGAGAAGTCGCGGCGATCGGCGACAAAAAGTTCCACTTTCGCGAGGACGTTAAAACATCGGCGGCCGATCAATCGACTGTTTTCCCGAGGCAATCTTCGATTATAAATATAAAAGTTGCAAATAGGATTTTACCTTCTCCTCGGACACCTCGAGGGACTTCAGGTTGTTGCCGACGACTCGCAGTTCCTCTTCCAGCTCGACGATCTTACTGAAAAATGGAAATGGAATCCATTAGAGGCTTCCGGAAGGATAAGCATCCCCGGCTCGATCGATACCGCGAAATTATCTCCACTTTTGTATTACCACTACTATGAAGGAAATCAACGTAACCGTTATAAAAAAAACAAACAAACAAACAATAAAACATACAAAAATTTACATAGAGCTTGTACAGCTATACCGAGCAGCTGGGATCTAATTAGTCTACGGGGTCATACCGTGGATAAGTACAAAAAAAAAATAAAGAAATTAAAAGCCATGCTCAATGTACTCACGCCTCGGAGAGTTCGGTCTTTTCCTCGGCGCGCTCAAGATCCTGCTCCATCATGACCAGCTTCCTGGCGACCTGCGGTCAACGGGCCATTCGAGTCATGCCAAAGCAAAAGGACAAACCAAAAATGTCAAGAAAAAAGTCGCATGGACATGCAGTACAGTTTGCGAGACAGGCAAATAAATCCAGAGGAATTAACTAATTAATTAACGGCAAAAACGGCGAAGCACGTCTGGTCTTCAGGGTGTCCCTCGGCTTCCTCCCCGTCCTATAGAAATGATCCTTGGACTCTTCAGGCGAGAAAAATAAAATAAAATAAAATAAATCTAATCAAACATCTCACGCACTCTAGAAACCATAAGTGGAGATTTCAACGCCTGGCGGTGATTCTACATCCAAAGGTAACGCCGCTATCAGCATAAATAAATCTAAAGTCTACAAGTTGATAGAGTATAAAATTCGAGATAATTCCTCGTTTCCATTAGATGTAGAACTCGATCGACTTAATCTACTATAAGCTGTTATCAGTGACTCGTTCGAGGAGCCCCAAAGTGCAGGTTCGAATTTTTTCTCTTCTGGAGTAGAAAATTCTAGGTGTTGCTTCTTTTTTTTAAATGGCCTGATTTTGGGGACCTGCATGGGGGGGTTCACTCGAACGAGGTTGGACATGCGAGATTACATCTGACGGACATGTACACGACAAGTTATCACTCCCTAGGGAAGGGGAACGATGCTTACGACTCTCCGGCTTCGGCGCGCTCTTCGGCTCGCTCCAGATCAGCCTCGACCATGGCCAACTTGCGGGCAACCTGTGTCAAGGACGATCACAATTTCCGTTTAAATTAATCGACGCCATTGGGAACGCTTCTCCACGTCTCTGATAACAGCAGGCGACGTTGAGAAAAGGACTCAGTCGGTCGGTGATACATATTTTTTTCGCAGAAAAAAAGAAGTAATAAAAAAAAAAATAAAGAAAAGCCGACTCGAAGTGACCCGAGGAAGATTAAACGGCGATTAATCATTGAACGAGACCCGAGTGGTCCACGTCGCTGTTATCGCGATTTTTATCATTTGCACCACATAGGCTCGCCGTTAACAAGCGTTAAATAATTTTCCTCGGCGCACTTTCGTCGGTACCGAGGAATGCAAATTTCGACACGCGCACATACGCACAACACGCATATTAAACACGAGTGCAAGAATACATTCGGCCGGCATCCGGCGATATTATGGAAACGTTTATCGGCGTTTCGCAAGCACTCGGCCCAGAAAAATTGCACAAAGGAACAGAGTTCCGCCCGATATCGCGGCGAATTGCGATTCAACGCGATGCAAGAGTCCGGTAAAATATGGAGATTGGCCAATGGTTGCGAACGCCGAGAAACAGCAAGCAGCGAGTTAATCCCGGGCACTCCAAAAAATGGTCCCTCGGAGAACAGGCGAATTTTGGCCTCCGGTTATATCAAATTCAAGGGGATGACGATTCCACGTCTTCAGGGAAGGGACCAGTTCTTGAAGAGCCGTTAGAATTTGGATGCACAGAGATGCACTCGGGAAAGGCTCGGATCCAAATCGGCAAACAGCGTCTAGAAATATTAGAACGTTAGGGGCACTGTAAAACAGGCATCAGGACTGAAAGTAAAATCAAGGGGATGACAAACAATCCGTTAATTCGTGTTAATTCGGTCAATGGATGACGAGCGCTCGGGTTGTTAATAAACGCAACACTCTGTAAACGCCGCTGACGAGGAGACTCGATTTTCTCCCGCGTTTTTATTTCATATTCCTGGCCCACCTGAAGGGAGAATTTCACCTTAACGCTTAACTCATCCCTGGATTAAAATTCCTCCCCTTTCGTTACAAATTCCGCCCGCAAATGTGATAAAAAAAATATATGTATATACACAGATATAAAAGAGATTCGATCACCCTGATTAGATATATTCCTACCCTTTTAGTCACATTTCTCCCGCGTTTCCCAATGATAAAAAAAGAAAGAAAAAATGCTAAAAAATCCCAAAACGTCCTATCCGCCACGCCCAAGTGTCGCATATCGTCAAAATCTACTCGCCTTAATTTTTTCGCACACAAGGAGTGCAAAAGCCACTGTTGATCGCGGATCACGAACACGTTTTACGGGATGGACGTTTGACCGTTTCCGGACTTCCCGGTCTCTATTAGGCTACCTCGTAACTTTTAACGTACAGGCGGGCTCAATTGAAAAGATATATGTATCTACATATGCACATATGTATATCGCAAGATTGTCACCGAAAATCGCGTGAACCGCCCGGAAAAAGAAACAAAAAAAAATCAGAAAATGTCATATAGTAACGCTTAAACCACCGCGCGACCAGGCGCGGCGCCAATAAATCTCCGAACAATCCTCTAACAACGTCCACCACGTCACATATAAGCATCACAGGGTCCCGCCTAAACAACAAGTGGCACAATTCGTTGGCTCGTCGCGTGAAAAGCAACGAAACTCAATTCTAACAAATCCTCCCTCAACATGTCCCCGTCGAGAAAGTCACTACCCTCCTCTAGGCCAGATTTTACTTTCCAACCTCAACCGACAAGCAAGACCGACCTCTCTCGTTCCCCCAAACCCATAAACCCTTCCGTTAGCCGGTTAATTAATTTAACGCCAACTCGCCCCCCATGGGAGCTCGTTAACGATTTAACGATTTAACGATCAGCTCTGCGCACTCGAGGTCGAACACTTTTCGCGATATCAGCGAATCGCGAAGCACAGCCCTCCGCTTCGGCACACGCACATACACAGAGAGAGAGGCCACGGATCGATCGATACTCAATATCGAGATCGAATTAAGACACACCACCCCGAACTCGGCCTCTTCGTCAACGCGAGATGCACTTCGACATTAATCTCAGATCTTTCCAAATTCAAACATCCCCCCGAGTGCCACTTCCACAAGGTGCACTTCGGGCGTACACACCCTGAAGAAAGTCGATCGATCGGATTAATTCCCGTAAATTGATCGCGCATTTTTACGACATTCCACGCGGGATCGATCGACAGATTCGGCTCGACCCTCGATATCGAGGTCGAATTAAGAGCCACGGTCCACTACCCCAAATACGGCGCCATCCTGAACGCGAGATGCACTTCGACATTCATTTCAGTTCTTTCCAAATTCAAGTACTCCCCCCACTTCCACAAGGTGCACTTCAGGGTGCACATCCTGAAGTGTGTCGATCGATCGGATTAATTCCCGCAAATTGATCGCGCATTTTCCCGATATCCCGGGTAAGTCGGCGGTGACCTGGACCCGACCTCGACAATCCTCGACCCCTTCTACGGGGTCAGGGTCTCGACGACCCCCCCGTCGAGGTGTACTTTCACCTGAACGAAGGTGGAGGCCACCGTTACCTCTCGGTAAGGTGGATTCCCACGACCTTCCCCGAGGAGGGGGGACCTGGGGGTCCTCTGGGTAAGCTCCCCATCGGCACAGCGAGACACACAGCGCGAGTTAGGGTTATATTAGGCACTTGTCAACTATCGACTAGGAACCATCGCTGCAGCCAGGCTCGATGGGGTTGGGTGCTCGAACCTCGTCGTACTTCTTGTCGGCCTCCTCGGCGAGGAACCTGGCCTCCTTCAGCTGGTTCTCCAGAGCGTCCATGCGCTCCTCGTCCGCCAGGCTGCGGTTCTCGAGAACCTTGCGGGCGCTTCGCACATGTTCAAGGGAAAGAGAGGATTAATCGGCGGGTAAAGTCGGGCGATAAACAAGAATAGTGACAAGCGTTGAATTCTGCTTCTGCATCGAGGTCGTCCAAGTCTCCTCTGCGTCGCTGCGACACCCTAGACACCTAGACGGAGTACACGAAGAACGTCGGATAATCGGACCAGGTGCCCTCTCCTCATTTCCGGCTCGACATGTTGGACAAATGACATCCTTTATCGCTCCCTAGTCTGCGGACAAATTTTCAAAACGAGTCTTTTGCACCGAAGAAGAAGAAGAAGAAATAAAAAAAGGAATTAATAAATAGATCAATCCGTCCTGGACCACGTGGGTCAATGCAGACCCAGGTGGCCTTGGAATTGGATCCCATGAGATCGGGCTAATATGTTCTTCGGTACTGTAGATCACTTCTAGCTTCATTTAAGCAATTACCCCCGGAAGGAATTTAAAAGAAAAATGATTTGTCCGTGGAGTTAGAGAATCACCCGATTTGGTTAAATAGTCTCAGCCAAGATGGAGGGGCTTCGAGAGGCCACGGGCACCTGGTACCGTTTTCTCGAGGAAGTCCTTGAAGGAGTCTCTTTGGACCCGGGGAACCCACCTCCTCGTACTTCTTGTCGGCCTCCTCGGCGATTAGCTTAGCCTGTGCGAGCTGCTGTTCCAGCAGGGAGACGCGGTCGTCCTCCATGTTGGTTCGGTTCTCGAGTGCCTTCCGTATCCTAGTGATTTTTTATTTAAGACTTGGACGGGGTTAGCGGGTCGATAGAGAGCAATAACTCCTTCCTGGGATTGCGGGGCGGCGAGGCTCGAATATAAATAAATAAATGAATAAATGAATAAGTGGAAAGAGAATTAAATCGACCATCTCCCCCGATCAGGATATACCGCGACTCGAATTCTTGATATATTTATTGAGCCACGAAATCGATCGATCCTAGAACTTCGATCGAGAGCGCGAAAATGAATAAATAAATAGAAATAAAATATAAAAAAAAACCTTTCCTCTCCCTCGACCAGGATATATCGCGACTCGAATTCTTGATATATTTATTGAGCCACCAAATCAACCGATTCCAGAACTTCGATCGAGAGCGTAAAATTGGGGTACGGACACTCCCAATCGGCAATAAAGATAAAAATAAAGGCGGGGCGAAATAAAGGCGATCGATAGCGCGCTTAATCCGTGAAATCAAGAAAGTCACATCCAGAGCGCGCCTTCTCTTCGGGCCGCGATAAATAAAAGCGGAAACGAGGGAAGAAATTGAAAAATCGTGGAAACACGATTCACACCCCCGCAATCCACCGGAGAAAGTACATTCTTTCGACGTTACACGGTTAAGTAACCTGTCGGGCGATAACTCCGAGAGAGAGAACTCGCCTCGAGGTTATCGCGACGACACCGACACAAGTTTCCATCGAAGTTACGGAACAGGAATGTCAGGAACCCTCGGCTGACCGGTTCGCTTTGAGGCTGCAAAAGTGCATCTCGGCGTGCACTCTAGACGAGGCTCGCTGCACCTTTCCAATTTTTTTCTTAATAAAGGGGACCGTCGATCGCAATTCTTTTTTCTTTCTCTCGAGATTACGAAGGAGAAATATTCAAAGTTCGCGCCAATCGACGCAACCGTTCCTATTTTCTCTCCTTATCGATCCTTTAACAAAAGGGATGCCCCGGCGGGATTTTTTTTCTCGAGAGCACGGAGGACGAGGGTCGAAATTTCGTGCCAACTTAGCCAGTAGAAACCGAGCAAAGGCTTCGATTTTCTCCCTAGAGTTGGCGCGATTTTCCACGGGAATTTCTTGCGTTGGCAACGTCCTCCGTTCCGTTACTCGTTACGGCGAAACCTGGCAAACCGTTTCCTGCAAAGATCCCAGGATTTGTACACCGGGGCCCGACTTCGAGACATTAAAATGCATTGGCGATTTCGACGGGTCCAACGCGATTTTCTTTTTTATCCCTCCCTATTATTTCCTTTTCCAGGGTATACTACGTGTAAACAAAATTACAGGGTCAGCCAGCGAGGAAGAAGACTCCACCGTAGTGGGGATGTGGTACTTAGTAGTTTGATTTGAGTCATCGTTCCAACGATCAAATAACTCCGGATGATGTAACGAGACCCTGACCAATTAGAGAGCAGTGCTGACCCTGGAGATCGGCGCCATCGACGGTGTTAGAGATGACGTCAAAAAAAAAAGGACTAAAGGAGTACAAAATAGGAAGAAACTAAAAACTCGAGTTTACGGCGGCCATTTAAAGATGGCGGCGCCCGCGAGCGGCCACGTGGTCGTCGATTCATGGATTAACGTCACCTGTCCCAAGGATCTCATTGAGTTCTAGGGAACGACCGATCGATCTCGAGACAGGTGAACGATCTAAATATTCCAGCGGAGGTGCAGGGTTAACTTGGCATCCAACCGAGACTCGATGGGCGAGCGTAGCTGCGGTTGCAACAGGTGAATCCCAACCTGTTGTGCAACGATTCACCAGCTCGCCTCCTGACATTCCATTCCGGCGAAGCAAACTTTCGTTATCCTTATGTTAACACCGGCGACAAAGGATCGCCCCGAGTTCCGAGTCTTCCCTCCAGAACGGCCAAATCTCGACCTCCACGGTTTCCTCCATTTTTACGACACTGCCATTGGGTCCAAATTTTGAACCCTTTGGATCCATAGTAATAAAGTGTAAAAACAATGACACTGCTAATTTTATACAATTAGGTGATTAAAGATACGCCAAAGTGCGAAAGAAAAATAGGAAATTGACTCTGGTATGAGTCACACCCAAATAAGGCATGAATCTTCGTCATGTTGAAATAATCTGGCGACGATCAACGACTACTCAAGAATTGGTATCGAGTTCCCGGATCTTGATATCCTCTTTTCCACGCTTTCAATTTTTTGTTCTTTTAAAGTAATGGAACTTATCGACAGATAATCGCACTATCTGACTGGAAGATAGTGGCCGAGATAAATGCAGCCACCTTGTGGGCGAATTCTTTTTTTTTCTTCTGGAGGGCTTTTCTCTCGGAACTCCGGGCGAACCCTTTTTTCGATTTTTCAGAAGGCAGATATTTCGGCAAATTACCGTTCGCTCTCATCTGCGGCTTGTGAGGCCTCTGCCAGTTTGGCAGTGGCAGTGGCGAGTCGTTCCTCCGACCTCTCGAGGTCTTCCTCCAGGAGTTGGATGCGTCGGTTGAGAGCCGCCACCTCGGACTCGGCCTGGAAGAAAAGAAAAATCGCTCCATGTATTCCATCGTTTGTTTAAATAAAATGAGAATGAAAAATGGGGGAGAAAAACATGAAAAAGAAAACCTCTCCTGCAACGATTGCGACAGATGATCTCCTGACAAACGATTCTATTACGCACTGAACTTCAATTGAACTCGATCATCGAGTGCCGAGCAATCTGATCAATTTTTTCTGTGAGTAATAATCTCGTTAACGCGATTCAACGAGGCGTTGCAATTCGCCAACGAGTTACTCGACGTCTCCGTTACAACTGTGTTTTACACTGCAATTATTCAATTATAGTCTTATACCCGTGTGGTTAAATAATCCTTATAACATATACGTAATGATGTTCTACGAGATATTTCAAAGTCAATGTACCTTGCTAATTTTGATACCACTGCCGGATGGAAAAATTAATTGGACAATTAATCCATGCAACCGATCATAAAATTTCAACATGTATCGATGCATTTGACTCGCTGGCAGGAGAGTGGCTGCCTTAAAATCCCGGAAGTACCCATGACGTACATCGTTTGCAAACAGTATTCATTGTTTTGCATCACATTGCTTGCACGCAGATTGTCAATTATTAAGGACTCCTCGGGACGGAACATGGCTTCAAGGGGTCTCTTTCATCGACGTGCTGTACAATATTCATTCAAACGCGAATCAATTACGCCTGGCTTGATAAATGCTCCACGTTAACCACATTTTCAATTCGAAGTATAATTTTCTTACAATATTTAATCCTTCCTCGATATGAATTTTTTCAGTTTCAATCCTCCTGCTCCAGTTGAATTCTAAATAAGCCTTCCCGTACATCATTGGAGTTTTCCTAGATCGACAAAGAAATTCTCATCGATAACTCATCCTCGCAAGCAGCAAGAAATCAAGGCCATCATTCTAGATAGTTGGTATCTCGTTCGTGCAAAGGAAGATACGACCACAGTGGGAACACTTCAAACCCTGCCCCTTCTTTTGACCACCCAGTCACTCGGGTGACGATTCTACTATTGCGATCTGCGAGATGCATCTCGATACGGTCGACTGCACACCCAGATCTCTTCAAGTATTGCTTCCGAATTCCTAACGTACATAAGAAATTCATCCTCACAGCATTCTATGTACAACCAAGCAGGAAATTTCCTTGACTTCCGAACCCCTTCTGCTCGATGCAGGTTCACCGCAGCTTCCTTTCTAACTCCGATTAGATAAGAGCGATCCAACTCCCTAGTCTCCATCCTACCACCACCTGTAAGTACCTATCATCAGTCAAGAAATCCCCAGACGAACCGAAAGTGCCCAATCTAAAAACTCCTGTCGGGGCGTCATAATTTCAGATATTAAGCCCAACCGGAAATTCTCGTTGCAGAAAAGGCCGAGGCCATCTTCTCTCGGGTTTTTCGCGAGAGAGCGCACCTCGAGCCCGCGCCGGTTCGCCCGCCACGCGCGATCGATCAGGCTTCGGCGACGCCGGGCGTCGCCCGGACGCACCTGGCTAGGCGCGGTGCGCCGACGGCCAGGTGGAACGACCGCGCGACGAGGACGGAAGCATGCCGGGGAGCGCAGGAGCGACGGAGACGCGACCGGCGGGGGCCAGGGGGGGCGGGGCGAAGCGCGCGGAAGAAACCGGCAGGCACTCACTGCCTCGCGACGCATCACTTCGACCTGGAGGCGCTTATGGTACTCCTCGCACTCGTCCTTGTACTTCTCCATCTCCTCCTTGGTCTGGCGCATCTTTTTCTTGAGGCCGTCGAGGAGGGTGCCCTGGACCTGGGTCGACATCTTGGCTGCGGCGTGACTCCTCTGGGCTGGGGTTAACGCACCGGTCGAACGCGCTGTGGACCCGCCGAACGCGGAAAACTCGGTTGTCGGATTCGAGTGGGCGCGGACTTCGCGTCGTGCTCACGGAATGCTGCCGAGCTGTATATCGGGCTGTCGCGCACACCTCGACCACTGGCCTGCGGCTGCGGTATATTCAAGATGGCCGCCGTGCGACCGTGGCGCACCCACGCGCCGAGCGTCCGCGCTGGAAAGTAGTGCGCGAGTCCCGGGACCCGCCGACCAATCAGAGCGCGCGCCGTCATATCGACCGCCAATCGCAGCGCTCCATTCCGTGAGAGCCCACCGCTCGTCGCGGCGCCGGTCCCCGCCGGCTACGGACCACCGGCCTGTTAGATTCGCCCGGCGACGGCCGTTCCTACGCCGTGGAGCGAAGCCCCGGAAATACCGCACCCGTCCACATCGCCGCCGCCCGCTCGAATCGGCGAACAATTCGGACATTGTCCCTGGTGCGTCCGAGGCCTTTAATCCGGATGCCAGGCGCGCTTCCGACTCGACGTAAGCGCAATTACGCACTGCCACAATGACGGAATTGTCAGGTTACGCTCGCGTCGGCGGGAACGCGCGCCGCTCGCCCGTACATGGGCCCTGCGACAGACGAAGACGGATAGACGGGTCGGGCCATGGGAAAGAGAGAGAAGGCGCTACCTCCGGAGGACGTGGTCGATCCTCGAGAGGGTCCCACTCGAAAGGGCTCGCTTGGCTAATTGCGCTGGCCTTGTAAAAGGAAAAAATCTATCTAAAGTAGCTCATACACTGCACGAGACTATTTCGTCAACTTCCTTCTACTAGTCGATACTCTATTTTAAATCCTACCGATAGTATCGTTCATTTCACGTGTAATTTCTAGGTCGCTCAAGGTTAACCTGCGAAGTCGTCCGTTGACCGCCATTAGCGTCTCCGACCCCACCCTCGACAAACGGACTTGGTTAGTATCGACTACATATCCCGATTAAAATGAATTATCATTCCGGGCCTCCGTTGGAGAAAAGGAGGGAATTTAGAGTCAACCGAGCGAAATGTGCGTAGCATGTCTATATACGTTGTATTGTGTGCTAATGACATAAATCCCGCGAAATATGCATAATGTATGACCGGAGTCGAGTCCAAATTGCGTGAGACGAGGAAATTCGCTCGTCGCATACAAATCCAAGCCTATGAGAATTAATAACGATTTTTCCCTCCCTGATATAGAATCGCCATTGGACGTTTACGGACGCGACCGCTTCTGCTCTTCGGCCATCAGATTCGAATCGCGGAAACCCCATATCCGGTACCATTCAACCAGTCACGCATTATGTTTCCCACTGGGGAAATAATTCGAGCGCGGGGTGCAGGCAGACGTTCGGATGTGAAATTGAAAAAGAAATGCCCACAGGAAGCGTGCCGACATCGCGTGGTCCAAAGGCCAACGGAAGTGGGCTAGGTGATGGTAGGATCATCGCCGAATGACATCATTGGGGGTTAAAAGCCGAGCGATATGACGGTTACACGTAAACCTCGACACATTATCTCACCGTTCGATGGTGTTTTCTCTTTGTTAATCCTTATCGACGGTACAGTCAATTAAATCACGAACATCCTTCGGTGGAACTTCGACGTATTCGCGAAACGTCCAATGAATTATATTATATTATATTATTTATTAAGAGCCACGTATGTATTTACGGGGAAATCTGCGAAGACGATTTCCTTGGAGAACCGACTGCCTTTGATTTCACGCGACAATGTGATTCGGTAACAAAGGACGTTGATCCTCAAAAGTGTGACGTTTTTCGGCGATCTCCACGTGGTTTCGAGTATCAGAATCCATGATTTTCCGAGTTAATAATCTCTCCCAGGGAGCATGATTAATTGACTGTTGCTCGAGATAGGTATTACAATCAACTTGTCCATAAATATCCGTCAAGGTATCTACGTGTGAGCATCGAGGAAGGACTATACAGGGAATAGAGTTCCCATACAAAGTCTCATCTTAAATCGTTCGAAGGCTTGAATGGAAATTTCTTTCCCCCCAAAGTGTATACGCAGTCCTGGATAAAAGATTCACGAGGAGGACCTCGACTCCCCGGCACAATATGAAGTATTCCCCGAACCGATCAGCCGAGATATTTTCGTGCCCAGATACAGCCGCTTTTCACGTGTCCGAAAATAACGTCGACGCGTTCCTACCGGAAATTTACACTGGGCATTCCGGCTCCAGCCTTCTTCGACGAGAGGCCGGAGAACGCATCGAGAGACTGCACAGGAGGCCATCAAAAGGTTGCAAAATCCTCAAGGGTCGTAAAAACGGCGACAGAAATTCAGCTACCCGGGTCGTGGAACGCGAGAAAAGAAATTCAACCCCGAAGCACAAAGGAATTCATCGAATTCGGTGGTCCCAATGTCGGCACGAAGACTTCGGTCGGCTCGACCTCGACGTTCCGAAACGGTGATTCCGCGTGGGAGATCCCGTTGCGGGGAGGAAAGAAAAAAAGGAAAAAATCGCTCGGCTGGAACAAGAGAGCCGAAGGCGAATTCTAGGGCAAATCCCAGGAATGCGCCGCCGAAACCGTTCCGCGCATTCCGGAAGCATTATGCAACCTTCCGCGGCAACGCTCGCCCAGAGATCGGAGTCACTGGATCGTCCCCAAGTATTTTTAGAACCCTGACCACAGTGGATCACTTTGGCTCGAGAGAGTCGCTCTCAAAAACTCCGAGGATACCTCGCGACTGCAGGCGAGGAGCTATAAAACCGCTCCCATAACGCGTTTCGTTGAACCATCAAGACTTTCTGGACATCTTCCATACAGAGCGGAACGACTAGTGCATGACGCGTCGTGGTTTACCGTTGCCATAATCCTCCGTGAACCCGTTTTACGACTTTTTTTTTTGCTCAAATTTCTTATAAAAAAGAATTACATTCCACGGAGGTGAGGACGTTCCCTAGGGCCTCCACGTTGGCGTGGTAAAGCACGATATGATACCCCGAGTTCGGGGAAGAGTTTCATGAACGATTGACCCTATTCTCGAGTTCATGGGATTAACTTTCGTATGCCAAATTAAGTGTGTCGTCTACGACTTTTAAACGTTGACCAATGACGCAACAATATCAAATTTTTCATGCGAAAAAAAATAGGTAATCCGTTTGGACTCGAGAATCAGGCCCCTGATGCCCCTTTGGCGTGACGTTAAGTCGTAGGAAGAATTGCGACAGCATTTCAGCAAGATAACCGCGGACTTCGGAAGCTGTATCGTAGCATACGGAGATGCTCGTGCGTGCGTACTTCTTGCCACCTTGTACGAACGTGGAAAAGGAAAGAAACAGCAGAACCTGGACTCGATGACCAAAAATGGCCAGTGGGCGCGAGCTCGCAGGATGGATTGCGACATTTCGAGGGATTAATAATCTTCGGACCTTAAATGTCCATATTCGAGGAGATGGACCGGATTAAAATGCGTCCGCGGTGGATTGCGACATTTCGAAGGATTAATAATCTTCGGGCCTTAAAAGTCCATATTCGAGGAGATGGAACGGATTAAAATGCGTCCGCGATCGTGCCGTGCCAGCGCATCGCTCACTGGCCCGTTTCGAGTAGTCGAGTCGGCCGAATACGAAGTCCCTGCCAAAACCCTCATCCCGGTGGAAAATCACGGAAGTCGGAATGTCTCGGAAGGAACATCCCGGGTGTCGAGGGAGGCGAAACGAAAGCGAGTGCAGTCGTAGAACTCGGTCCGTTTCCCCGCCGAGCGGAGTCTCGCCGCGTATGCAATTACTCGTGGCCTCGTGACCCCAAAATGGCGGGGCGCCGAGGTCACGTGGCCGCGCGGTGGCGGGGTCTTCGAACCGGCCGAGTCCCCGACGCCCACAAGGTCGTCCGATCCGGGTCTCTTTGCCCCGTGGCGTTCGTGCACTGAGCTACAACGCCACGGGTCGTAAGACACCGTCGTCCGTCAGGACTGTTTATGGGTTTAGGAAAATCCCGCGAGGGTCAAAGTCGCCTCTCCATGGTCGTTATCGCCTGGCCGGGCGATCGACGATATAGGAGGAAGAAGGAATTTCGGCTCTCGGGCGCCCCTAGGCGATACTGACCCGCTTGAGCTGGTTGCTCATGATATTCTGGAGCTCGTTCTTAATCAGACTGAACTTCATCATGGTGTCGCTGGAGAAGATGGAGCTGCCGAAGGCAAGGCCCGGGTAGTCGGCGCAGCGCTTCCGTCTGCGCGCTTCCCGCTCGGCCTGGATCTCCGTGCGCTCGCTCGGGCACCTGAGCTTAGCCAACTCGGCGAGCTCATGGTCTTCCTCGGGATTGGGAGTCTCGTCGTCCGAGTTCCCATCTCCGCGAGCCCTCGCGACCGCGTGCTCGGGCTCAGGACTGGCCACTCGCTCTTCGCTTGGCGAGTGGATTTTCGGAGCGCCGTCGGTTAAAGGCTCCTCCTTGGGATCCGGGTCGTCGCAGCTGCATTTAGTCGGAGTCTCGACGACCTCCTTGAGGTCGAGGTCCCTTCTCTCGGGTCGGGTCGACCCGCGATCCGGGTCTTGGCCACACCGCGCGGGCCTTGTTGGGGAGAGTCTCCGGTCCCCCGGATCGCCAGCTTCGGGAGGCCTCGGCTGTCCTCGGGATTCTCCCGGCGGACTCGGGACCCCAGGGCGCAGGACCCCGAGGACGTTGTCGCTGCCGACGACCGCCGTTGGGCCCGGCGGGGGCGCCTGTGTCGCCCTCCCGCCGACGACGATCTCGGTACCTCCGGCAGAGCCACACTGCGCGGGTCTTCTGCTGGAGGCGTCGAGGCGTCGGCGCGTCACGTGACGCGGGTGGTGCTGGTGGCCGCGACGCCTCGACGACGTAGAGGTCAGCGGCGGTTCCATGGCCCTCGCCGCGCGAGTGACCTGGCGGCTGCTAGTCCGCCGGCCGCTCCGTCACCATCGTACCGGCCGCGCCGCCATCTTGCCTGTCACTGCTCGCACGCGCTTCCTTTCGCGTGTCGCGCGCCGTCCGCACACCTACGCGCGCAAGCGCGCCCCGTGGCCGACCTAACCTCCTGGCCGACGACACGTACACCACCGCGGCCGAGAGGCGCACCTACGCGGAGTGGCATGGACTCCGACCCCCTCTACTCACCCGGCTGCGCGCGCACCCCGCGATTCGGAGGCTGCGCGCTCCCCGCGATTCCGAACGCCGCGCGCGCCTAGGGTGGGCTGCGCGAACGCCACGCGCGGACCGGCCGCCAACTAGCGGCGGACTGCGCCACCGCCTCGCCGAGACTACCTGCGGGTTCCGCCGCCCACCGCCAGGCGGCGTTGCCAAGCGGAGCGGGGCGATATTGCCGCCCCGACTCCGTACTCAACCGGCAACGCCGGCGGGTCGGCAAGTCTGCTCGCGATTTCGCGTATTTTAATCATCTCATGGATGTATCGATAAATCCCGAGATGTTGAAAATTCCGAGGGGGGAGAGTTCAAGGCTTTTGGGAGATTGATATGAATCGTTTTGTTGCAACGTGTCCGATACAAAGCCTGCTCGGAAATCTTAAGCGTCGTTCGCGGTGAAAGCGAAACCTGCACGAAAGTCTGGCTCGAATTTCTGCCGCGTTATTCTTAATCCTACCGAGGAAAGTCTCGGAAGTTGTTTCGTTACGTTCGATGGTAATTAATCTCGTGTAAAATTTCAGGCGCTTGTCTGGTTTCTTCCCCGTCGAAGGAACGCTGGAATCCCGAGGCTGGCGAAACCGGATACGTTTTGGCGAATCGCTTGGCAGCGATCGAATGCCAATTGTGATGATTCGATTGGAAAAACGCGTAACCGGACACGCAGGCCTTCGAATCGCCGGTTGAATTCCTCACGCGTCGGGGAGCTGATGACCCAGAAGTGCCATTTTGCAAGTTGCACCGAGCAAGCTTCGTGCCGAGTCGGAAGAAAGACTTTGCGTTACCGATTATACTCTCTCCGTTTAACGGGTACACCCGCTTGGCGAGAAATTAATATTAAGGGCTGTGTTATTTTTAACCCTCTGGAAAAAAAAAAAAAAATTATGTATTCCGAGGCGTCCTTCGAATTACGAATGCAGATATCGAGTTCATGTCTTGAGAGGGAACTTTCGACGAATGCGGTCAGTCCTGGCACCAGGGTCACTGCCGTTTATGGGCCGAATCATTCTGCCCATTATGGTCGAAAGCCCCGAGATCTCGAATGTCGAGCCATTCGTGAACTTTGATGTAAATCGAGCGTATAGAAATGTCATCCAAAGGTGCCGCGTCTACTCGCCTCGGGCTCGCTCGAGAATCGGGAATTAAGTCCTTCTATGGATTAGTTTGCACCGATCACTTGGTACACGTACTAAAAGCAGTAAAATATCAAGTGTAAGGCTTCAAACTCAATGTAAACGATGTATCATCTTACCAAGCCTCCTTACACGAATTTTCACATACTACGTTTTTGGTACACTTTTGATAAGCGTCAATAATCGGTACAAACTAACTATGCACTGGGAAAAATCAATGGAAATTTGCATACATTTTCACGCGCTTGTTACTAAACTTTTGGGTTAAAAAAAAAAGTAATATGGTAGAATTAGAAATTAGATGTTGTTTAAAATACCTAAGATTCCTTGTTTACCGTGTTAGTGCGGTTTGAATTGACGTTCAATGTTATATTAATTTACTTAGACTTAAATTAGGTGCCGCGTGTGATATTACGGATTTTACTGCAATTGTGACATCGAATGATATGTACCAATGATTTGCGTTCACATTTTTATCGGTGCAAGTCCATCCTGCGTTCGCGAAACCGATTGCCCAAGTAAAGATCCTTCGAGTGGTTCGTCATTCAAATGATTCATCGCTCGATGATCGCGGGTCTCGAGGCACGGAGAATGAGATTCGCAAGTGCAGCGACTTGCAGACTGTTAGAGCTAACGCGGCGAAATTAACTCGACCCATTGACACGATTCGACGATATGATAAAATCCACATAAAATTCATCGATCGGCTCGGTAGTTAGAACGCAGTAATTTCTTGCAGAACGATTTGTAGATCGACCGACTTGCTTTCGTATGGCTCTCGTATTCGGGCATTTGTCGGGAGAAAAAAAAAAGAAATTACGATGATTTCATAATTTACTCCATAACGAGTCCAACGAAGAATTACTCGGTACATACCGAATACGGAAGCTTGCGCGTTTAAGCGATCGGCCGATTTGCGAGCACCGATCGAGCCGCGTTTTCAATGACCTGAATTACTAACGAGTCGGCTCTCTTTCAGAGATCGAGCGAGCCTTGAGGAGTGCGACGATTTTCAGAAGACCACCTGTAATGGACAGCGATGAGGGGGAAAGTTCGAGAGGAGACTTACATTCTGCAAGGCTTTGTCCTTCTCCTCGAGCTTGGCGTTGACTTGCATCAGGGCCTCCTGGGTCTGGTCGAGCTCGTTCTCGATGGTCTGGATTTTCTTCTGCAGGGCACGCGCCTCCTCCTCGGCCTGGAGATGAAAAAAGTTACTTAGAAACGGTATCCGATACCCGGAAAAAAAATTTAATTTAATGGTAACAAAGAAATATTATGTGCATTCAAGGAATGAATTATTTCACTTGAATGAACTCAGAGAAATTGTCGTAATTCCAAGTGTTGCCGTCCGATTTACTCGAGTTTGGGTGAAAATAATTATTCAGTGAATTAAGAAAATATTTCATTGGCTCAATGACATTTCTTCTTTAGTCAGAGTAATAGGTGAATTTAGGGAGTATTAATTATTAATCGGGTTTTCGTATTTATTCTAGGTTTTATGGGCTTACCTTCTCAGCTCTGGCGTTAGCATCTCTGGCCTGCTGCTCGCAGAGCAATGCGCGGTCCATCGCATTGTCCTTCTCCAGCTTCATTCCCTGCATCTTCTTTTTGATCGCGTCCATGGTGCCGGCCGGACTTTTTTACCTTCGGGCGATTTATCTGCAACAAGCGCAAGGGGGCAAAACATTGTAGTCGCGTCCATAAATCACATTATACACCCTGGTCCTACCACCCTGCGGCATTCTTGCTGCGTTAGTCCGACCCTCGCCTTGCAAGAATATACCCTTGCTCCATTTTCGCAGAGAGGGAAGTAAAATTATAATTAATAAAAATAGGAAAATATCGCATCGACCATTGCCCATGGAACCAAGTGATAATTCCCATAATCTTGAACTTAATTTCAATTCTCTTTCGGTTACATCTGTATCTATGAATGAGGTCTCCTCTACTTGCCGCCAATTAATTCCTAAGAAATGTTAAGTTTACTTATTTGCTTTTCAGTTAATCGTCGCGGTCCCCGCAGTTTCTTAGCAGAGGATAAATTTATAAATGCTAAGAATAAAGGTTGATTTATCTGGAGCAAGCCAAGGACACAGGATACCGGAATGGAACCCATAGATCACGTTACATAGCATGCGTACACCGTACGACGACATTAAAACCCCTCTTCGTACCAACACTTGCTGCACTTTTGCGAGCCTTGGAGCGACCTCAACAACCGAGACGAGAGTTACCACCCAGAAAAGAAAGGGACGAGAAAAAGGGTACCAGTGCTTCATTTATTACCCTCACTGAAATGGTCCTGTAAACCGACCTAGCGCTCGACGATGATCCTAATCATGTGAACTATTTCACTCCAGGTATTGCCCCGTTCCGAGTGATTTATCACGGATGCTGCGCAAGACGTTCGGAAGACAAAGGTCGACCGGATCGCCGCTTGGTGTACTAATTTTCCAAGGTCTCTTGTCTTTCGAGGAGCCTATATTCTTGGCGAGCCTGTAACGCTCAAGCACGTTCTCGGCCATGTCGAAGTAGCCACATGGAAACTGCTTGAAAACGAGTCTACATCTATGCCCAGACACAATTCAGAGTCTGATGGCGGAATAAATTAAATAAATTGAATAAATGGAAACAAATCGAATAATCGAAACTATTTTTACAGGTCAAGTACGTTTCGAGGGAGCTGAAACATCTAACGAGATCCTACGAAATTTTCCAAGGTTCCCTGTCTTTCGATGTCCCTATTTTCATGGCGAGCCTGTAACGTTCAAGTACGTTCTTGACCATGTCGAAGTAGCCACATGGAAACTGGCTGGAAACGAGTCTACATCTATGTCCAGACACAATTCAGAGACTGATGGCGGAATAAATTAAATAAATGGAATTAATGGAAACAAATCGAATAATCGAAACTATTTTTACAGGCCATGTACGTTTGAATGGAGCTGAAACATCTAACGAGATCCTACGAAATTTTCCAATGTTTCCTGTCTTTCGATGTACCCATTTTCATGGCGAGCCTGTAACGTTCAAGCATGTTCTCGGCCATGTCGAAGTAGCCACATGGAAACTGGCTGGAAACGAGTCCACATCAACGACCAGGTATAATTCAGAGACCGATGGCGGAATAAAAGGAATAAATTGAAAAATTCAAACAATCGAAACTATTTTCACAGGCGAAGTATGCTTAGAGGGAATCTAAGCGTCTGGCATCAGCTGGACATATTTTTCCAGCTCTGGGAAATTTTCCATCGGAGTAGCGCAAGAGTGGAATCGCTGACCGACGAAATGGTGTCGTATAAATTCGGTCTATTCTCGATTTTCCAAGGAAACTTTTCCTTCCTTCGATCGGCGAATGCGAGGCGCGGCGCCTGTATCGTTGCGGTTATAATTAGTGACCGAGCGGCCGCCTTATTTATAGAGAGAGGTCTTGGCTGAGGAGATCCCGGCTTCTTCTCCTGCCACCGCCATCTTGGGCGAGACCGAAAATTCTAATTTCGTAAGCCCTGCAACGCGTGACGTCGACGCTCCTGTAACGGGAGAACTCCGGAGACCAGGAGCTTGATGATGAACCGATATCCATTCAGAAATTTGAAACCGTGACGGATCCGCTCCGAATTAGCTACAACCTAATTTCGAGAACCCGCGTTAACCTGTAAATATTTCCGACTTCTTGCGCTAATTCTGGAAGAAAGAAAAAAGGAAGCTCGCGTAGGTGATAAGGCGTCACTTTTTTATATTGGAGAGGAAGAGTGCTCTATCGCTCTTCAGGTGACGGAGGGATACTTGGGTAGCGTGTAAATGTTTCCGACATTTTGCGCTAATTCTGGAGAAAAAAAAATGGAGGCTTAAGTATATAATGAGGCGTCATTTTTTTATATTGGAGAGGAAGAATGCTTTATCGCTCTTCAGGTGACGGAGGGATACTTGGGTCGCGTGCAACCTTTGTTGACGTTTTTGAAAATAAGCGGGAACCGTGTTTTCGTATACCGATCACTTTCAGCTGACCATGTGAAACGGACCGAACGGGTTATTTTCGCCTCGAAGAGGGGAGTCTTCGAGGTCCTCGGACCTTATCGGGTTACACTAAGAGTCGTCGACGTTGACGATCTTTCGAGTACGTTGATGCCGTCATCTCGACGGTGTCGCGTTACTTTCTGCCTAGTTTCCTTAAAATGGATTTTGAATATTAAGTACTCGTTTAAATTGGTTTTTAGTGCTATTGTACATGTTTAAGAAGTGGATTACGGGCTATCCTCGACGTGAACTCTCTCTAGAAGAACCCCGACTCGATCGAGGACCGAAAGGACTTGTTCACCTGACCCAATTGTCTTCCTCACCTTAAAGGAATACCTCGGCGTTTGCTCCTCTCTTTTATGCGTCATTGTGTTTATAAAAGCAGCTTACTATCGAATTTTTTTCACCGGCGCTCATCGCAACGTTACTTTCGCAACTCCTTCGGTATTTGATTCCCCTCGTGGTAAGACCTGGCGAAATCGCCGTACACGGAGTGCTTGATTAAAATTACACGAAATTACTTGAAATTACGAGTATTGAAGATTAGATAAGATTCTTTCCATCCTTCGCCGTTTACTTTTACCGAAAAATCCAGGCGTCGAGTTCCAAATATGGCGACCTATTTTTCCTTTTTTATATTAATAAGTCCTTTTGGTTTTTAGTAATCCTCCAAGATTTCGTTGGAAGTATGCGGAGTAAAAAGAAAGTCATTCGATCCTCTGCCTGGGGTATCATGTGACAAGTGTCAGAGATGTGAATTCCAGGAGTTGAAGATCATCCTCAGCGCATTCCAGTTCAAAACCCTTTCCTGTCGACCCTGAGGAAGGAGCAAGAACCGAAGAAGTCTTCGACCGCTTTAAGGCACTTTACCGTTTTACATTAAGTACAAGTGACAGCCGGGTGTGCGAGATTCCGACTTGTATAAAGGCAAACTTTGCTCATAGAATTCCTCCGCGCCTCAAAGTACAATAAAAAAAAAAACCATAATTAAAAATATAATTACAGTACATCCTAAACCAGTACCGTCAGAGAACAAATATTCTTTCAAAGTCTCCACATTTCAATGAGATAACAATGAATAATTCCAGAGATTCCTCCTCGTTACCAACCTGGGTCGGCAAAAACCTTCAACTCGAAACCAGGTCCTCGGTATGAAACATAAGTACATCCTATCAAGTACACGTGATTCTTCGAATTCGCGTAAACACAAAGAGGAGTCGAATTAATATATTTGAGCCTATAAACTCCGAATTCAAACCTTATCAATATTATCGAAATCCTAAACTGCCGGAACAAAGGTAGCGAAGTGACTCCCCTCTCTTTGGAGGACCTTCAATTTGAACCTCGTATCTCGATCCGTCGTCGAATCAAACTCCACATCCATTTACAAATCGTTTACAATAATAATAAAAAAATTCCTATCATCAAATTACCCGAATTTTTCCAATTTTAATACGAAGCGGATCAGCGAGCTGGTTTTCCCTGGATATTTTTCGCTCTTTACGCATTCCCTATAATTCCTGCGTCCATTGTACCCTCCTCATACCTTCCCCGACAACAGACTGAAATGACGTGTAACGTTGCTTTTAGCGGGTTGGTTATAATTAATTTATTAATGTCTTATTCGAGGGGTACTTTTATTAGTGTATCAGACAGGGTACTTACAGAGGGGAAAAAATTTAGCAGGTCGGTCCTGATGTGTCTTAGCCTCTGATGTGATTCAGCTGCTAGTCGGCTCGCAACTGGCCCCGGCAAGAATCTACTTGCGAGGATCTCCCTCCTTCTCCGTGCGAACGTTTCGAGAAAACGTACACCAGTCGACTCGACTCCCACTACGTCGGCTTCTCTGGTACCTCTACGAGCCTTTGCCGGCCTCACCAACAACGTGGATCTCTTTTAATCCGAACGTCGCTACCCTCGAGCTACAGCTGGAGGGGTTTCCGGTTCGGATCGCGCAAAAATAGAGAGAAAAATGAAGACCAGCCACGCGGAATAAAGTTCCTGTCAATTGGCCAGGAGAAGACCAAGACCTTCTCCGGCAGTTGCCCGTTCCCTGAAGCTCCACAACTTAATAAATCATTACTATTAAAAATCCCGCCGCGTGGACATGGCGAAGAAATAACAGTTCCGTTACATCAATCTATATCAATAAGCGGTAGGAAATGATAATGTAAGAATGTGGTTTCCTGCGGAAACCGCCGATGACTCAAGCTAGGCACTCTCATCCTTTACGCGTTCCTTTTAATTCAACTTCTTGCAAGCATCCGGGGAAGAGTTCGCATATAAATGTATCTGGAAAGTGTAGAATGGCGACGAAGGCGTCGTGTAAAAACATCGAGGTCCGATATTTTTACAGGCGTTATCAGACTTTTTACTGCTTGGCGTGCTTCTTGATATTCTCGAGGACGTCTTGAACGTCTTCGGAAGATCCTAGGAAAATCGGAGATCTCTGGTGGATGTCCGTAGGGACGATGTCGAGTATGTCGATCTGGCCGTTCGTGGCTCGTCCTCCGGCATTCTGCACTATGTACGCCATAGGAATGCACTCGTACAGAAGGCGCAGCTGGAAATGAAAAGTAAAAAAGAGGCATGCTTCGTATTCCTCGCTCATTAAATTAATGAACGGAGTTCCGGTCGCTACCTTTCCGTTTGGACTATCCTTCGAGGCTGGGTACATGAAGATTCCTCCATACTTGATGGTCCTGTGAACATCGGCCACCATGGAACCAACGTACCTAGCAGCGTATGGTTTCCCACTAGGGGGGAATTTCTTCGATTGCACGTATTCCGTGATAGCAGCATCCCATGTACTGGTATTGCCCTCGTTGATGCTTTGCGAGGAGAAATGAAGTATTAAACATAGCGATGAAATAAATTGAAAAATCGCAAGGGCGGGAAACCTCACCTGTAGATTTTTCCTCTAGAAGGTATGCGCATGTTTTTCTCCGTTATAATAAATTCTCCGATGGCTGGGTCATACATGAACCCATTAACCCCTTGGCCGAGTGATAAAACCATCATGGTCGCGGAACCGTAAAGCGCGTATCCGGCAGCGACTAAATTTTTCCCAGGCTGAAGTGCATCGGCTATCGTCGTGGGTTTGGAGCTGTCCAATTTTTTGTATATCCCAAAAATCGAGCCGACCGAAACCAAGCAGTCTATGTTAGACGATCCGTCGAGGGGATCGAAGCAGACCACGTATTTTCCTCTTTTCTCCGTCTCCACCTCTATCGCCGTTGGATTTTCCTCGCTGACCAGAAGGCACGTCGTAAACGAGGAAGTTAGCATGTTGATGAAGAGCTCGTTGCTGAGGACGTCCAATTTCTTCACTTCCTCTCCCTGCACGTTCGTGGAGCCGGCGATTCCATACCTGCAACACGCACGACCTCTCATTTAATATTAATTTAATATTAACCACACATCTTTGCAAATAACAAATATACTATCAAGTGCCCTTAATCGCCCGAGCGTTCACCTCAGTGTCAATTAGACAACATAATTAATTTAATTCTATCGAGATAAGGTAATCTGAATTGCAAAACAGCGCGTCGCAATTCCACATTGAAGTAAATATTTTTCCCTTATCTCACGGTTGGATTATCATCGAATTACTGAACTTGTCGGCTTTTCTCGGTGCATCCCATTAATAACGTTAATAACGCCGACTCCATTTTCTATGTAATATAAAATCCTTGACAGAGTGGCGGATGAAGTGCCTAAAAACACTGGTTATACTAAATTCTGCTCAGATATGTACACTTGTGTTCAGGTTTTGGAAAGGTTTAACGTCTGGGCGTGCAGAGCTTTTCTACATCTTAAGGATTTGCATATCCGGGCGTACTTTAGTGGACCAAAGGAATGCCAAAAAAGGGCATGGTACCCATGACTCACATATTAGCGATCCCAGCCTTTCTGACTGCCGAGCTGACGGCCTTTACCGCCGTCTGAATGCTGTTGAGCAGCTGGGTGAGATCTCCGGTCGCGGTGGGCACCTTGCGCTGCTCGGCAAGGACGAACCGGGTCAGGGTCACGCAATTGGGGTCGAAGGACGGTCCCTTGGAAGTCATTTTCCTGTCTTGCGCTTCGCTTCTGGTCGATATCCTGCTCTTCTTTGCAAGCCGAAGACGACTGGCATGCTCCTATCCTCGCGCCGTATTATTATCACCGGTCCGTTATCTCATACACTTCTACATACCACGTTACATCACATGTATGGCTGCGCATGGATGTCATGTATTGACTATTTTGAGCGCCTTTCTGGTTCACTTGCGAGCCGATCATGGCCGATCGATAGGATCCGTCCTGATGGACCGCATCGGATGCTGAAACAAGACTCAGGTGGTAATCAAACGAAGGTACTTTTGCATGTCGGTACATACTCACCGATGAGGTTCCTTGCGACACCGGGTAGAAAGTCCAAGGACGGCTGCGACTATTTTTTCGACATGCCAGCATGGGGACAGCAGCCTGGGAGTGTCATGGGTCACACGTTTTGAGCAGGAATTTCGACATTTAGTGGTAGCCTTGAGAACAGTCGACGCAAATAAATGCAGGGAAAATTGGCAAATCCCCCACTCGTACATTGGAAGCAAGGAAATTTTAAATCGATTTGTAATTATTCAGTTCTTTAAACACATATGTACAATGCTTTGTGTTATTTTCTATATGGGCACAACATTGGGAAATGTATACTACAGAAAATGAGCACGATATAATACGTCACCCAGAGGTGAGGATTATTGTGGATTATAATAAATCACCTTACATTAGCATACAACACTACTTCGACGCTGTGGCTTGATTTGCCTCTTCTTCTTCCCAAGGCCTTGGTATCCTTTTATTCTCCCAATTGTCGAGATCGACCTGAAGTATTAAAATTAACGGCGATATAAGTGCGATATTTGTGTAGGCTTTTAGAAAAGTATATTTAAGAAATTAGAAGTACCTCTTTAAGCTTTTCGTAAGCTGCCTCTATCGTAGTTTCCTTACGATCCCTTAGTTTTACCCCAGTGCGTTCGAGCTCTTCGCGTACGGGTGCTACATTGCGGTATTTATACCTAAAACATTTAATATATAATTTAAATTTTCTTATAATATCGAAGGAAAGATCTACAGTGGTGCTACTCTTAAGCAATAAATATGTTGTATCTGAATTGTAATAATAAAATGTAAACTAAATATAAATCCACTACCGTAGATCTGCAAACTCTCTGAGGCCCAACGATCCTCCAAAGACGAAAATGAGGAATGGTATGGCTAATCGGTTATTTTTACGATTCAAAAATTTAATCACGTTGTTTAGAAACGTCAATTTTTGTGTCCATTTAATCTAGAATGAAGACAGTAAAGTGAGGTTAGGGAGCGAATCATGATGTTGCTCAGACAAATAATTAACTGCGTGCCAGAAATGACTTACCACTTTCTCAAATCTGTACTCGAAAGGGTTCTGATTTATTTTCACTGGCTGACAGTTAGTACGTTTCTTGAAAAAACCTCGTAAGAATCCAACCATCGTAACATGTAACGGAGGTGACTGTTGGAAATAAAGTTTACAGAGAACAGCAGTAGGTAAGAAGTTCTATATTTGGAGGTTAATTGTCATTTGCACTGCTAGATGGCGCCACCAGGTCGGCGATTTGAACCGTTGAACAAGAAGCACTCTCTCGTTCCATCAATCGAAAGCATCTCGTTCATTTAATTTCTCTTACTTCCTAAGAAAAAAGGAACGTAAACTTCATAATCTAACGTGAATGTACTCGTATAATTTTATTATTATAATATATTAAAGTACATTGACATGTCTTTAAATATAAATACAAATACGCGTTGACGTTGTCGTGAATCGCAATCACACATCTTATCGAATAGCTTTTTTCTAGACTTCCTACTCGCTACGGTTATTTGACAATAATAAATGCGGCAAATTAACAGGTCCCAAGAAGTCGATACTTTATACAAGGTTAGACGGCATAATTAATCGTGCCGTGAAATATAATCCGAGAGCCATTATTAACACATGCAAGCTCGAAAGCACGGAATGATTTAACGGCTCCGCGTTTACATCCAAAATCTAAGATATAAATTAACGTTTAACGTTTGTACATTATAATATCCATCGAAGATATACAAGGATTTCGTGACAGCTCCTGGAGGCGTGGTTAATTCCTAGGGTAACCTATAATTCAAATAAGAAAACACGAATTTTGGAAACATCGAGGAATATTCGCGAACGCTCATGTACACGGAGACGACAATTTCATATTTAACTAAATATGTTGTTACGGGCTGGCAAATAATTATCGCAATCCTATTCGTAGGTAATTTAACGAAGTGGCTTCACTGTACAACCGAATTATTTATTCGTTAGCCAGTAACGATACATTTAGCCGAGTTTACGCGTCTTCTTAATGTCTACTCTAGCGCGAAACACAGATAAAGGATAATAATTGGAAATTAATATCTCGAACTTGTTTCACAGGTTTGCAATCGGGGCTCGTCTTATTGCTGCGTACGTTACTCGGTAATGTCATTATCACCGAAGAAACTGTATAAAGAGTACAATCAGATTTACAACACGTGAGTGAAGCTGTCTGCGCGTCTACAGCTATTCTTACCTCTTGTCGCAAAGGAACGGAAAGCAACTATATCGCCATTACCTTCGGCAACCGTTACCTATGGATAGCGACGCACACTTACGAAACGTTATTTCTTATACCGAATAATTCATCTTCTATCTACTTTCAATTAGAGCTCCAAATAACGTCGGATATCCAATAAATGCAACATTTTACGCAACCGCCGCCGAGCCTTCCGGGCTCCCTCGACCTCGAAAGTACTTTCAAAAAATAGTGTGCTTCTTTGGTTTCGTTAACACTCCAACTGAAATCGGCCGCTAATTTCTGGGGGAGTTATTAACCTGGTAAGTACCTCGCAACCGACTAAAAATAAAAAGGAATGTACAAGTGCATCCGTAAAGTGGTGAAAAAGGAAACAGGCCAACGTCCGACAGAATTTTTCCCAGCTTCAAAAGAAAGCCAGCCAATTGGATCCCAGGTGAAAAGGTAGAAACCATCTCCCTCGATTAAGTTCAAAGTGTTAAAGATTTAACACACCCCATCTCGACCACTTTCCATATTCTAATAGCCTCTTTCTTTTGCAGCGACCACCTGGAGCGAAGGTTTCGTTAATAGGCGACCAAGTGAATAATATCACCGCCGCGGACGCAATAAAATTTATGAAGGCGAAATTGAAATATCATCCCGAACACCAAGAAGACGATAAAACACCGGACGTCGGTATGGAGTTCCGCGCCAAGTTCATCTCCCGCGCGGTGGTCGTCAACCGTCTCTTTACGGCATCGGATGAAGCGTTAAATGTCCCGAGGTTAAGGGCTTATTAAAATTTCTCTCCGCCAAAGGCGCGATGAAAAGTGGCCCGATCGTCACGAAAAGTCGCAACGAAACCTCTCTCCAGGTGAAACTATCACGGAATATGACGGACACGTTGGACCCTCCTGAAACGAGACGTTCAGCGAGATAAGTAAACGATACGAGGAGCAGCTTTAAACGTTCGCGAGGTCGACGCTGAAGTAGCTGGTCTGCATCATGAAGAGCTTGTCGATGGGGTTGTGTGCCGGAGGTGGCGGTTCATGGGCAGTGCCATGGTGAGAATGGGAACTCCCCTGATGACTTCCATCAGCCCCGGCACTTTCGCTCTCGCCGATGTCGAAGCCGGCTTCTGTCCCGTCCAGGGAAATGTCGCTGCTGCAAAAGCTCTCCCCCGAGTGGCCCATGTACGTATCTGGAAATCGGAAAAGCGAAACCCTGTACCCCAACGGGGAAATCACCTCGCAGTTAGCGGACTAGTTCGCAAGTTTCCTGCTTCAGGATCCGTTTCTTCAAGGTCCGGGGAACGTGACCAGAGGACGAAGAGATCTCCTCTATATGGGACTGGTCGTAACGGGGGACAACGGATCTACTAATTTCGACCAAAATGCGGTTTCTCATGGGGTCACGGGTCTTCGGGGCTCCTGAGAACCGCCATGGTGAAGCAGGGTGGAGGAGTAAGTCGCGAACTTAAGTCGGAAAGAGACTTACCGTCGGGCGAGTACGGGTTATTGGGGTTGAGCGGTTGGGTGGCCGAGGGGAAGCTAGAAGATTCCCCATCGCGCATGTTCATGGCGTTCACGTAATGATCTGCGAACGAGATGAGACGGTTCACATGGTGCCTGCACATTTTTTACTATTTTTTTTAACTTGACCTCCCGACTATTCACCGCCCGTCCCTCGCCGACGACCTTAAATTAATGACTCTGTCTCGATTTTTCAGAACTATGGGAGTCAAGTTCGAGTTCCACCTCCGGAAGGAGCTGCAGAATTAATGGATCGTACCCGCGATTCGAGGTCTCTGGTCAAGGTCTTAACGCCATATTGTAAGATATTCGGTGCCGTTCGCGTATTATGCCATTTAATGTATCTCGGGTGAAGCCCTACCGAGTTTCCTGATTCTGGGTGGACTAGAGAAACGTTGAAGAAACCCGGACCTGGAACGCGTCAAACTTCGGCCACGTCGGCGTCAAGGTGAACGCATCGCAATTAATTGAAGCACAGCCAATCAGTCGCGTTCCCCAACGGAAATCCATTGATTGGCTCCGCTTAAATTAATTATTACAGGTAAATAATTCACGGTGGGATGAAAATAGTATAGGACTTTTCGACTCCTTTTTTCAACGATAGCGCTGTCTAAACCGTGACCACCATTTCTGTTAGACTCTGTAGATGGTGAATCTTTCTGCGATGTTCTCCTCCACGCAACGGGCCGAAATTTTCTGCGGAATATCTGACGGAAGAGGACTCACTGTGATCGCTGTGCGGACTCTCGCCTCTTCTCTCCTCTTTGGGCTCCTTCTCGATCACCGGCTCCACCTTTGACTTGCGCTGGAGTTTCTTCATCTTCGCCCGTTGATTCTGAAACCAGACTTGCACAACTCTCACGCTGAGCCCGGTTTCCTTGGCGAGGGCCTCGCGAACTTTCCTGCAGGGTTTGGGGGAGATCTCGAAGGACGCCTTGAATTGTCTGCGCTGGGCCGAGGTCAGGATGGTCCTTGGCCGCTTTGGACCTCGACGACCATCGCGGGGTCGAGCCTCGTCGAGGAGATCGTCGCCTGCAACAAGTAACGAAACTCTTCGGGAACGGAAACGGAAGAAGAGACCCGAGTCGAAATCTCGTTCCAACATTGAATCTACGTAGGAGACCTTTCGGTTCAGCTCTTGATTTCCTATTATCGACTTTAAGTCAACGTCGAAGATCTACTTCGGTTCTCTTGCGCCCTACTTTATCTAAAAAGGAATAGATTCAAGTGTCATACACACTCCAAAAAATGTCTAAAATTACAGCATCCTTTAGGTCTAAAATAAGGATCCTCTTTGTAGGTTTCTTTGAAACGCATTTAAGATCCATGGTTTCCTTGGTAGGATGGAAATTTCGACTCGGGGATGCGAGGAGTACCATTTTTCTAGCTTTTGGAATTTATTTTCAGGGTTCGGTAGGGGGCACCGACCTTGAGGGCTGTTCAAGAAGAGCTCGTGCTCGAAGTCTCTCCTGCAGATCGGCTGGCCTTGTCGCAGGATGAAGTGTGCCCCTTTTGGCAGATTCTGACCACACAGGTAGCAGACGAAGCAATCTACGTGGAAGACCAGCCGAGTCACTCTGATCACCAGCTCCGAACAATTGATCTTCTCCATACAACGGGCGCACTTCACCCCGAAGATCCTCTCGTAGTCGGCTCGACAGTAGAGCTTGTGGTCCCTGATGAAGCACGAGTGGGACAGGGGCATGGCACACACGGTGCAGGACAAACAGTCTTCGTGATAATTTCTGTCGGCCACTCTCATGACGTATCTGCCGGTGATGCTGAGGCCGCATCTCGCGCAGATCACCTCCAGAAGACCCGACTCGGTCTTCACCGAAATCGAGAGGTCTGAAAAATATCGGATAAACAGATCTATACAACCAAGCTATAAATATAGAATAGGCTCCACCTAAAAGAGATAGCACATGATAAATAACGATAAAAAGACCGCATCTCGCGCAGATCACCTCCAAAGGACCCGACTCGGTCTTCACCGAAATCAAGAGGTCTGAAAATTATCGGATAAACTGATCAATGCAACCAAGCTATAAATATAGAACAGGCTCCACCTAAAACAGATAGCACATGACAAATAGTGATAAAAAGAAAGACTTATTTATTATAAATTGCAACTACTAATTATGGTTCCGTATCGTAGCTCTGATAAGGTCCGGCGTTTATTATTATTAAATGCATAATATTATTATTATTTAGTGCGGATGGATTTATGGACGTAATTTATAAATTCAAATTTTCTTCTTTTTTTTAGGAAATACGTAGGAGATTTGAGTTCGGGGACAGAAGAGAGGATCTTCCTAGGGAAGGTTTAGGAGCGACGAAACCCTCGCCAGGATATACTTCTCGGGGAAATATTTCAAGTGAGCGAGTTGTACGTACTATAAGCTGTATAAGCCGTACCATCGAAGTTCGCCATCTGTTGCTGCGAAGTGCTTTAGCCATGGGCGGCATCGAGGAGTATTTGATGGGAAATACGTCAGTCAAATGCCTCATCGAGTGGCAATAAAGGCACGCTGCGCATATATCTCGTGCAAATACGGTATCACCATACCTTCGCTCTTTCTCGACAGGTGCCTCGAATATGTCGGATATGAAAAGTGGAGGAGGGAAATACGGGAAACATCCACTTTTCGCGAACTACTTCCGGAGGAGTGGAGGATACGCGGTAGCGTCCTTCCGCGGAGGGACGATGACGTTTCCTCGAAATCCCGAAGAAATTTTCTTCACCCTCGAGCGATACGCCATGGGGTAACTCCTAGGCGACGACCCAAGATGGACCGTACATTAATTTAAACATCGATATTCTCGTTCCACCATAATATTTTTTTCTACACTTCAATATCAGTATTATATATATATTTTTTTAAACTAAGATAAAGCAGTTGCATTGCCTTTCATGTCGTCAGGGACTTCTTCTCCGAGAAACATGAGCTTTTAAGAAAAATGCTCCATATCCCGGAATTATCCTTCTAAAAATATAACCGACTCTTCTCTGTATTAATTTTCTGAAAATCAATGTGAAATGAATATCCGATTTTCTGTACATATTGAACGTCGGGGATACATACTTATTCCCGTCCTTTTTTACGAGAGTATTCGGAGAGAAATCGAAAATTGTCCCTCTAGACCCTAGTTTAAAAATGTCGGAAAATATTTTTTAAACTAAGGAATCAGCTCACCAGGGTTGTTGTTATTCACAGTGGGTGGAAAGGGCAGTGTTCGACCTGTGGGCAATGGTTGACCCGACTCCCCTGCATGATTCAAAGGACCCACTGCGACCGGCGGATAAAACTCCAGCATACTGCCAACTCCTGTTCCGAAATCAGCAGTTCATCCAGCATCCGTCGATCCGCCTTCAATTCGCGTATCCTACTCGCATGTCCCTCGAAGCAAAGGTTGGATCACTTTTCGGTATTACCAAGATAACTTAAGACGTCGTTTTCACGAGTCAAAATGACGCGAATGTCCATCATCCATGACGATGGGTCATATCAAGATCTCGCGTAGAAAAAATAATACGAGATATTCTCTGTCCTTCGTTTCGTCCTTTCGAGTCCACTGTTGACGTCGATTCGTTTCACCCTGAATCCTCCACTTCGATGAAAAATCGTCGACGATGAAATCGACAGCTTGAGCAATGCCTCGACTTTATAAAAGGATCTCAGCCTAAATTCGAGTTCACTCGTCACCTTTGACCCCGATTTTGCATCCGACTTCGTCCAGCACAACCACTGGGTCTATCAACGATCCATCATCCGCGCTTTTTCCGTATTTTCATGATAATCGCCGAGTCTCTGGAAAGAGATGCGATTCCTTTAGTACCCTTAACCGCACCTTCTTGGAACCACGAATTAAAATCCAAGTTTTTCGTTTTCAGGTTCCCACAGTCCGGGACGCGATATCAGCAGGGTCGGGTCGTACGTTAAGAACAGGTCACAGCACCAAGTACCACTTCCAGTGGGGAAATTTGCCCGAAGATTTTAAAACCACCGAGAGTTCCACTCCGCCTTGAGGAGACTTCCAGGGTTGCTTCGCCCTGCACTTTAATGATCGAAAAATCACACCGTCAAACCCGCACCGAGGTATCCGTAGAAATCTGTAAAAGGAGAATATTCCCTAAAAATGGGGATCCTTCCCCTCTAAGTCACTTGTGAATTTTTCCAGGAAACGCACCGTTAAAAGGGAGGGGTCGCGTCTCCGGGTCAAGATCTAAGAGCGAACACTTGCACCGAAGGTCACTTTTGGAGTCTTCGAGGAAGACGACGCGCAAGAGAGGCTTCTTCGAGATAGAGAAGATTCGGCTGCGTCGCCGAAGTCGGTAGTTCACTGCCAGGTCGAAGTGGTTCTCAATTCCCGACTCCGCACTTGCAGGTTCGCGGTTCAAGGCTCGCGGTTCTTCGAGGTTGGTCGCACTGGGCTGGGGATCGCGTCGAGGTGCGAAGTCTAGGTTAAAAATCGATACCTAGAGACGGCACGGAGTCGACGGGGCGAAGGCGGCGAGGTTCCCGAACGAGTCGCGCGGATCGGGTCTCTGCTGACAGTTTTTTGACGGACCGGAGCATGTGCGTTCCGTGTCAACCGGACAACAAAAATCTGCCCCCACTCCGGAGGTCGAGCCGCCCCGGGGGTCGCGGCCTGAGTGGGCGTCCCGGTGCGCGGGGCGCTGCTATACCCCACTCTCGGCCCGATGCCGGCGCGCCGATTGGCCGGCCGCTAGGCCACGCCCCCTCGCGCCGCGTAGTGGGGGAGTCCGCAGGGGCGCTCAACCGAGGCTCGCGATGCCAGGATCAATATCTCCCGCTATCGCCCGGCGATAACGCTGACACCCACGTATACGGAAAGGCCGAGCGGCTCCTGGACGACGGGAGCATCCCGGGAGGCGCGGTCCGTCGGGCACAGGGACAAACCCCGAAATTCGACTGTATTTTTAAAATCTTCTCGAGAGAAAGACCTATTAAAATGTGAATATTAAAGGGAGGTGAAAGTGGAATCTCGAATCGCTTATCAGTCTTATAAAGAATGCATGCAAATTTTACCACAATATGGGGGTTCCGAGGAAGGCCCCGCCGCCCACGAATTTTCAATTTATAGTAAACCACGTTTTCAAATCGACAATATTATACAGAGTAACACGAGGGAATGTGGGAATTAATTCCCGAATTTTATTTCCATGTTTTTGTAATCAATCTACCGAAACGACATATGGAATATGACGTTACGTGAAAATTGTTACGTATAGTCGTCAAGGTAAATATAAATGTCGCTGGGGAATTATAAATGGCGTCGCCGAGAAGGGTGGAGACTCGAAATGGAAGGATTTTATTTGAACGGTGAATTAAATTTCTTGGCGTCTTTCGCGTAACTTTAAAATCTCCTCTCTGATCGGGGTGTCGAGCCAATTACATCGTCGCCTCCGAAACAGGAATGTCGGTGCAATTAGCGGATCGGCATGCACCAGGGTGCACCGGTCTCATCGCGCATGCCTGAGCATCTTCCATCAGTTTCCGAGAACCTCTTCCCGGCGCTTGCGCGTCTTGTAGTCGGAGAGGTATCTCCGTCTCTCTCGCACCGCCGACTCCCCGCCGAGCGCCCTCTCTCTCCCTCCCGGCCCTATTCTCGACGCCTTATTCACAAAGCCCCGATGATGCGGCTAGTTGGGCATCAAAGTCCGATCCCCCGCGATGCAGGAGGGTCGGGCGACGGGGATGCAAAGTATTCGGGGGGAAAACACGTGCGACCCGAAGGCGGGAAGCGAGCCTAGGGGGAAAATAGCAAGTCTGGTTAGCCGGTCTCGTTAAATCGGACACGGCATCGGCATTGACATCGACACTGGCGATGCCCCAGCTGATGCCGGCCAAAAATCTCGGGGTTGCGTCCTAGGGGATGAACCGTGTCATCGAGGTGTTCAGGGGAATTCGTTCGGCTCTTTGGCAACCGAGACCTCGTCTTCTCCTGCATGGGTGCTGGAAAACAAGAATGACTGAGATATAAACACAGTATTGGGCGGTTTGGGTTAGGTTATGTTTCAACGTTATAAGTGGTCGGATCTGTTCAGATCAGACAAATTTATATTTCCCTAGAACAGACGTAATACTTCTTGCAGACGTGACTACGATGAATTAGAAATTGCATATTTGCATATAAAATAATGTGCATACAAAGGGTCACATTTTCAGGGTCTTGGCGATAACTTATGATGGAAAGTGTTCGTTGTTTCCGTGGTCCAGCACATAGTAGGACAGAACGCTTGGATAAAATATGGCGGCGTGCAGGTGCGCCTCGTCTCTCCCTCTTCGTGTCACGGATCGACATATTGTTTGAGACGTGACACTAACACCGTCCGTGTAATTATGCCGCCACGGTTCGGCGTTGTTCCGCTTCGCGGGGGTCGCCCAGAAATAGCCATCCCTAAACACCCTTTGGTCACGCATCGAGGGGTGCTACACTTGCATCATCGTATGCACCGCGCATCCATTCTGCACCTGAATACCATTATTTACAGTTTTGTCAAATGACGCAGCGTACTGGGCCGGGGGACGAAGTTCGCCCGAACGGTGTTCACCGTGGCCGAGTTTTGGTCGTGCGGATCTAGAAGATTGATATTTCATGAGCGAATATCAAAGACCGAGTCAAGCTTCACGAGATCTGGGGTAAACTCACCTTCGACCATCGGTGATTTCGGTTTTCCAGCTCGAAACTCCGTTCTTCCTCTTCGCCGCGAAATCCAAGATGGCGCCTTCTCCGCCTCAGCTCTGAGAATAAATCGGTAATAATGAATAATATTGACTCATTTTCAGGAAGGAAGTGTTTAGAAAATCGTTGTTCGAGCCAGCAAGGTAAATTCCACAGTCCGTAGAATGGGATTCGACGATTTAAACGTCCGCTGCAATAAATAAAACCCTTCGTAGAAAGTCGTCAACAACGGAGGGACATAAAATCCAACATGGCGTCCCTTCCGCGAGGCCGTGGCGTTCTGTGCCGCGGCTCAGCGAATCCATCCTCGGTAACGAGAGTGGGGTCAGCGATTGCGTTCCAGGAATGCGTGATGACTGCTTTGTTAGGAATGCGGAGCGATACCCGTGCGCTAAACGAAGCGACGCGAAACCGACAGGAGCGCGGATCGTGCGAGGGGTTGGAACGGGAGAACGGCGAGAGCGAAGAGAGAGGCCGAGAGATAGCGCGACGCGCGAGTTAGAGAGAGAAGCGACGAGCTTCGAGCCGCGCACGCCAGCGAACAGAGAAGGACGGAGCGAGAGGGCGAGAGGGTGGAGATCGTCTGCTACGTTTTACCGGAATGTGCCGACCCCGGACCTGCGAGAAACAGTACAAGTTCGAGGGGTTGGAACCATATTGGTTCCTCCATGGTTCTTGGGCGTTCAACGGAAGCGACCGGGCTCTTGAATGGAAGCATAGTTCGGAGATGGAGATGCGAATTCTCCATAACAATGGAAATAATAGAAATAATAGAAATAATAGAAAACGACCGGATTCTCCCGTTTAATCCTGATGGCGCATTCCTTCTCTTCCGGGCCACGTCACTCCCATCCTGCTCTTGAGAAAATCTAAACAACGTGAGAAGGAGGATGACCCCTGAGAGGCGACGCGATCCCGAAGGAAGAAGGATTAAGGATCATTCGATTCATCGATTCCCCTACGAGACGCATCGCAATCTCCGCTAGATTTTAGAGCCATTCGGACATAATAAAACTCAGCCATTTACCTTTAACAGACTATCAGGGAATTATTATTAAATTCCATACAATCCTTAAAAACGAAGTTATCGACTCACCCAGTAATAAAGTGTTCCACGAATTCGGGGAACGCGATCGGAAGAGGATTAATTAATTAAGAATTAATTAATCGACTCTCACGTGATTCCCGGATTTTGATAAGGGCTCTAAAAGTTTATGAATGACGTAACGAGCAGGGCCACTTGTAATTTCGAATTTGAGTGGATTGGTCAAAAATATTCTCTCGTTTCTCGTCATGGATGTTATCGAGTGAACTCTGCAAGGTATAGAATCACGGGCCGAGAGCCGGCGGTGGCGAATTCCCGGGAATTTGGAATTAATTGTCGCAGATCTCGAATGGCTCGCAATTCCGCTCGTGCCCGTGGAATGCCGGTAATGAGTACAATAAGATACGATCGAGCGAACGGGCGAAGGTGAGAGCGTTAGATTTCGATCAACAGAGGGCTTCAAAGAGCGATTTTCCACGTGCTTAAACACGGCGCCACGTGGCGCCACGCGCGCGCCGCGTGACGTAACTCGACTGTTAACTCCCGGTTTTACATACTGCTC